ACCGGCGGGCGGCGCGGCCGCCCGGTCGGCGAGCAGCGGCAGCGGAGCCAGGGGATCTCCCGCCGCCGGCGCCGCCGCCGCCGCGGTGGGGGCGCCATCGCCGTCGCCGTCGCCGCCCCCGACGCCTTCGGCGCCGCCACCCGCCCACACTGGCCTGGTGCAGCTGCTGAATGAGGTTTGCTGCTGATTGGCTTTTACGGTGTGCTGCAGCCCGCTAACCAGGACGTGTTGCTGTGGGGCAAGAGCCCCACCATCCTTCAGCGCCTGGCGGAGGTTCCCTTTCCGTACTTCGTGGAGCAGCAGCTGTATCAGGTACTAGTTAGTGCATGGAAGGGTGTCTGGGCTCTGGGACCACGAACATCAACATTTGAGGGTGGCGAGGGTTGGGTCGGCGTCCCAACGCCGCACACACATGCACACACACACTCTCTCGCTCACTCCATGCATGGCATCAGCACCCATCCGACCCGTTCATCTACGCACCCACGTCTGCGTTTGCGTGTGTGTGTATGTATGTGTGTGCCTGCGTGTGTTGTTGCAGGTGCTGATGCCGACGCTGCTGTCCGTGTGCTACGGAAGTGAGCGCGCGTGTGCCACCCTTGCCCAACACATGGATCTGTACCTGCTGAGGAGCTATGTGGAGGTGAGTGGGTGGGGCTATCCTGCTAGGAAATGAAAACAACGGCCATACGGAGGGCACAGAACGGAGCATACGGCATATGGAGCATTCGGAGGCATACATTGCATCCATACGGAGAGCACAGAAGAACTGTTCAGCGCAAGGCTGATAAGGGGGGCATTTCGGCGCTCTCGGTGATTCCGCAAGTGTTAGGGACAGTTTTGGAGGTGCTGACAATGCTTACATAGAGTGATGTTCCTGGTGGCAGCGCCCACAACGCACATTTCACCCCAGCATTCTGGCCCTGTCATGCCGTTACGCCATCTGCCTACCTATCTGTCAGTCCGCCTGTCTATCTGTCTGCCTGCCTGCTTGCCTGCCTGCCTGCCTGGCTATCTGCTGGCGCGCAGACCATGATTCGACAGTTCCATTTGAATTCGTTGACGACAACAACATTGGAGGCCGGTGACTGGGCCCACCAGCGCCGGCAGCGTGGAGCTGGTTTCCCCGGAGAGCAAAAAGAGCTGGAGGAGGAGCAGCAGCAGCGGGGAGAAGCACCCAGCGCGACAGACATGATCTCCGGGTCATCTGCTTCTGTTTATGTCGCTTCTGCTTCTGAACGTAACCAGGTCGAAGGATCGTCGTCGTCGTCGTCGACGTCGTCGTCGTCATCGTCATCGTCGGCACCACGGCAACACTCGGTTGCTGTTGCTTCCGCAGGGGCTGTGGCGGCGGGCGGTACCGGCCCCCTCTCCCCCCGAAGACAGCTCCTGCAGGACCTACCCACGTCTGCGCTGGGAATGCCAGACAGTAGCGCTCCTAGAGGCAACAGCGGCGGCGGGAATGCCGTTCAGAGCCTGAGCATTGTTGAGCATGGCTCGCAGCGCACTGCAGCGCAAACGGGGTCGCCGGCCGGCGCCGGGGTAGCGTGGGGTGATGATGCGTTTGTGCTTCCTTCGCCGACGGCGGGCCGCTACAGCCTGCCGCAGCGCTTTCCGCTGGAGCTACTGCCACAGGTGCTGGCCTTCCTGGAGCGGCAGATGCCGGGCGCGGCAGAGCGCGTGGGGTCAGCGGAGTCGTCGCTGGCGGCGGCGGTAGCTGCCGCTGCAGCGGTTGGACGCCTGACGGCTGCGCCGCCGCCTCAGCTGTCGGCAGCGCCGTTGGCGATACTGGCGGGTACGGACGGAGGCGGCGGTTGTACTAAGGCGGCATCCAAGAAGCGCGCAGTAGGGACTACCGCCGCGGCTGCCGCCGCCGACGCCGCTAGTGGTGGCAGCGGCGGCGGTGCACCGTGCCCGTTTGCGATGGGGGATGTACGGCCGGTTGTCACCGTCGTGATGGCGCCATGTGCGGAGATGCCAGCGGAGGCTTCGATGGAGGGGGGGAACAGGACGGGGACCAGGGCTGGGGCGGCAGCGGCGACGATGGGGCCTGCAGGCGGGCATGGGACGCAACAAGGGACTCTGTCAACTCCTGATAGCAAGGCTGGGGCAGGCGCGGCCGCGGACGTGGCAGGCGGCAGCGGCGCCGCCGCGGCGGAGTCGCCGACACCAAGCTCCGGAACCGGCACCGGTGGTGCGGGCGCAGGCGGGACAGGCAGCAGCGGCAGAGCGGGTAGCAGCGCCGGCAGCTTTGGATACAGCCATCACGTCCGACGGTTCTTAGATGCTTCGGATGTGCCCGTGCCGTTCGCGGTGGGGGCTTTTCGGCGGCATAGGATCTTCGAGGCGGCTGCGGCGGCAGCCGTGGCGGAGGTTAGCGGCGGCGGTGGCGGCAGCGGCAGCATGGACGCGAACAACTGCGCGCGGTCGTACGTTTCAGAGTTGAGCTTTGGCGGCTATCTTACACCGTCGCTGCAGGGCGACTCCAGGGAGGGCGATCCCCAGTCGCCGGGCGAGGACGAGCGGATGGCGCTGGATGAGTTTGACCTGGAGCAGTACGAGCAGCAGCGCTTGGATGAGCAGCAGCACCTGGACGAGCAGGACGTGCTACTGTTGGACGAGCCACCCATTGACTGCGGTGCCGGCGGCTGCCGCAAAGCGAACGCAGCGGCGGCATCTGCGATCCGCAAACCGGCGGGTTGTCATGGGGGCGGCGATAGCGGCGAAACGGAGCAGGGAGGCGAAAGTCCGCCCGATTTGGGGGCAGGGCTGCTGGCTGCAAAGAAGGCGAACGGACGGGGGGCAACTGGGACAGGAGAATCTGGATCGCCATTAAGAACCGGACAAGCAGGCCAGGAAGATGACGAGGGGTCAGCGGGCGTTGTTATGGATGCGTGGTGGAGGCGGATCGGCTACGAGTTTAGCAGTGTGGGCGACGGCAGCGACAGCGAGTTGTCTACGGGCGAGGGTGACGAAGAGTAAGGGCCTTCCTTGCACGATAGGAGCTGCTTCCATCTCTCATGTTGTGGGCTGGGCAGGAGTTGCTGGTTTGCGTGGTGTTCTGTGGGTACATACTAATGGTCCGTGTAGTTTCTTTCGTCCCGTACTGGGCTTTTGATTTGCGAGCACTGCGAAGCTGCGGTTCAGATGTTACGTTAAGTTATTGGTATTATTTTGCTACCATAGCTCATGTATATACAACCTACTAATTTGCGCATTGCAAGGACGTGGTCAACGTATGAAGGTTGACCTTAAGGTTGAGTCGCGACTGGAATGGCTTCTGATGTAAGTGGAATAGTTAGTTTCAACGTAGGTGGTCAAACGTTTACAACTGTAAGGGAGACGCTTTTAAAGGAAGCCAATTCGCGACTCGCATTGATAGCGCGGGGCCTGCTTGCGGCTGTGCGTGATCCAGCTACCGGGGCATATGTTTTGGATCGGGACCCAAAATACTTCCAGCTTATTTTGAACTGGCTACGGGACGGCTGGTGCTCACTGCCTCGGTCTCAAGATGCGCGACGAGAGCTTTTACAGGAGGTTCGCTACTACCAGGTATGCGTTCAAATCCTTTTTGGAGCTTCATATCCAGAGTATCAGCATGCCTAAATTCGCTAACCGGCTTCAACCGGGCGCAGCTGACAACCTTCGAGGGATGGTTACGGACCCAGGAGCTGTTGTCAGAAACGGGGCCGCATTCGACCCAAGATATCTTGTCCTTAGAGGTGTGGGTTCGCTGGGGCTCTCAGGAGCTGTGAGTGCGTCATATCAGGGGGCTAAGCACCGAGGGGTTAACAGACATTTGCATGCACTGGTAATCGGGTAGCAGGCCATTCGGGCCATCTGGGGGAGTCTATCCGGTGTATTACAGCATTGCAGCGAATGATAACGAGCAAGGAACCCGGTATAATGCTATCCGGGATGGAGGATTTCGTTTTAAGGCTTTAGCAGTACACGATGTCGGCCGTGCTGGACAACACTAAAATTCCCGTTTCGATTTCCGTCTAGGCGCACCTACCTGATCCAAGTGCGCAAGCGCTTCGCCGTTTGCTTCTTTGATCTGACGAATAATCGACAGCAAAACCAAATCTGTTGTACTAGTAGCTTCTGTACGGCCGTATCCTCTGTCCACTCCCTTTCCTGTCCCAACGGCGTATATCCCCTTGGTTTCTCGCAGAGCCCACAGCGGCGCGGCCCTATCCACTTTACGCACCAGCCGCCACAGGTATCATACGCAGTAGGACCGCCGCCTTACATCCCCTACAGTCCCTTCCAGCCCTATGGCTCGCCCAGCACAGCCGTGCCAGCGCCCCCGTCACCGCCACGTTCCGCGGCGGCTATGGGGCCGATGGCTCCAGGCCGCAGCGCTGCTGCCGCGGCGTGGATGAGCAGCGGACCTACCTCCCATGGCGCCGCTGCCGCCAGCACCGCGCCGTCCTCGCACCTGCACCTCCATAGCTCCTCGCTGGGTCCCGGATCTCCCGCCGCGACGGGGACATCCTTGCCGTACGGTGCGCAGGCGGGTGGGGTTGGTAATGGCAGTACAAACGGAGGCGGTGGCGGAGGGCCCGTCAGCACCGTGATGGCCTCACTGCGGGAGGCTTTCCTGGCGGCGACGGCACCGCAGCGACCCGCACCGCATGTGGCGCCATACAGCCTGCCGACGGCGGTGCGTCCGTCTTATATAGCGCCAAGGAGTGAAAGTGTGGAAGGTCATGGCGAAGAAATTGCTGGGCTTCACCGGGCTCGGAAGATATAGCTGAGGTCCTGGTTCCCTGCTGGGATGGTTCGTGGGCGGTTAAAGGGAAGGCCGGAACGGCGTAGGTGTGGCTGTTGCGCCTTCCTCATGCGATGTATCGTGGCAGAGGTGGAGGGAGGAGGTGCGGATAAGAATAGGCCACCCTACCGGTATATGGGATGGGTGGGAGGCATGGAGGGAGGCCACCGGACCCCAATACTTGTGCGTACCTTCCATACCATGTTTTCAACATGCATGTGCGTCAGTGGGCTCGGGCCTTGGCATGCGCCTTTTCACACGTGCGGCGCGTAGCAGTGCTGAAGGTGGGGTGTGAGAACCAGAACCGCGCTTCCTCTCGCCCTCACGTCTTCATTACCCTACATTGTGTACGTTATTATGACTTGACCACCAACCCCCAGGCGGACGACTCAGTTAGCTGGACCAGCAAGTACCTAAAAGGTAATGAGCAGCTGCGGGACCTGGTCAACACGTTACTGGAGCTGGCTTTCCTGGCCCCTCACAGGTGGGTAGGTAGGTAGATGGGTGTGGAAGTGGGGATGGAAGTTGCAAGTGGGATGGGTATTAGGGGCTGCGCGACGTGAAGAGTTCTGACTGACGGGTGCCGTGATGTAGCGGTCCCGTGGGGCTATAGAGGTAAAAGGAGGCTGACCCAAAATAGCTTAACCATTTTTACCGGGTCCTGTCCGTGGCGTGTTTCCTCCTCATTCCGGAAACCCCGTACACGTGGCGCTGGAAGAAAGGCTAATAAGAAGGTACAGAGGGGCAAGTCGAGTTCTTATGCTTGGATTCGGAAGAGAAACAGGAGAACACCCTTCCTATCCAATTTCTCCTATCCAATTTCCTGGCGGAAGGAGCCAGGACAAGCACATATTTCGGAGCATATAGCGCGATGCGATCCTTTCATGGGGAGACAGAGAGCGAAATGCGTGTCCGCCGGGGGGGGATAATCCTCCCCTCCATCCTTCTATCCATCCCTCCATCCTTCGGGTCCGCGGCCGCCGCAGGGCCCTTAATTCCGGCAAGGTGCACCTGAGCATCAGCGTGGCTTGTAGTCACAGCTCCGAGACCAGCCTGGTGGCGAACAAGGAAGACTACCAGCGGACCAAATTGCTGGTGGGTGAAACCTAGCTAAAGGGAGGGAAGTGGTTTCGGGGAATGTGCGTGGTTTTTTGCCCGGAAAGCGTTGGTTACCGCTGGTGAGGTACCTGGGAAGCCGTTGGATTGTTAGTTCGTTTCTGATAGCTTTGGGCATGGGGTTTCCTGCGATCCGTATCTGTTAGGTTCGCGTTAGGTTGTGCATGTGCTCACACGCCTCTACCACTACCCTTAACGTGCAGGAGCTGCGAGTGAAGGCCCTGGGATGGGCCTTCGAGCTTACGCTGCGGCCTAGCAGCGAGGTCGTACTTTGGGACAAGTACGGCGGTGTGGCGTCGGCCGTACAGGTACGGTGGCCCATAGCAAGGATTCCCCGCACATCTTTGCGCACCCAGACACCGAACGGATGCTGCTTCAACCTTCTCACGTCTCTGGGGTTTCATGCATGTAAGGGGAATTTGGCGTTCCACGTATCTCAGCCTCGCGAACTATGATGATGCCCTGTATAGGCCTGCTACAGCCACCTGGCTGGGGCATACGACCACGGGCGTTCGTAGAGCCCTACGGTCCGTGTAAGCAGCGCAGCTCCGCGTTGCAGCCCCAAACCGCCCTATTTCCGCCTACACCCTTGCTTTTGGTTGCTGCGGTCTTCAGGACAACTGGTTCGTACTGGGCGCCATCCTCAAGGACCAGTTTGGAATTCTGATGGAGGAGGACACCATCGCCCGTCCAGCCTGCATGGCTTGCCGCCGTACCTGCCTTGCAATTACCCTCAATAAGATCTACTGATTTGGCCCCAGCAGACGTTTGCCCATCGTGCAACGTGTGTAAGAGCGGCAATACCTGGGAAAGAATGAGAATTCTTGCATGCACGTGCACGTGGATAACGGCGGTCGACACCGTGGTGGCCTGGCTGCGGCACACGGCTTGAAGGGTGAGCAAGCATCAGCGAGCAGAAGGATCGGTCTCGAGGGTGGGGTTTATTGCTGCTGGGTGCTGCAACCCTGCTGGCGCGGGACTACTACTGGTCCTGGCTCTGAAGTTGCTACGGTGCAGAACGCGGCTGGGAAGGAAAGGGAAGGTTGTGACTGACCAGGACTGACCTTGTTGGAGAATTCACCGTAGCGTCTTTGATCGCATCTGCTGAAAGAAAGCTATGTAAGAGAAATTTTATTCATCTTCATCTTAGCCAGATTCATTTTCATCTATGTCAGGCTTTTGCTTGGACTCGGCATCAGGGGAGACCTCCCCTGCTCTGCATCGCCGGCCTTCTTGTGACCTAGCACTGATTTAGCTGGCCATGAATTTATTGTTGAGGCCCATTACTTCGATAACATGCATGCTAGCACTCGCCATGACAAGGGAGATCGTACGTGCTGATGCAAGTACGACATCCGTCGGGGATCATTGATGCAGGGTATGGCGACTTGCGAGGCTCGCGCATGAGGGTTATACTTTTTATTGTATGGTATCCGTCGGAAAGGGCGCTGTGATCAAATCAACAGGTTTGCTTCCGCACGTGGCGGATAAGGCGTGATTGAGCCAAGCGGGCCAATCCTCATCTGTACAAGTCCCAAGTGGAACGATCCGAGGTTAATTTGCAACTCCTACCTAGGAGACCCTCCTTTAAAAAGGAGTCATCCGACGATTCAGTTTTTCGATACCCCAACCCGCAAATACCGCGCAGGTCCCTCGAGGTACCAAACCTCTGGACCGGTCAAAACAGCCCTAGGCAGGCCAGCGGCAGCTTTTAGACCGTTTCAATAAGCCTAACTGAGAGAGTCTGAAATCGATTAGTTTGGCACGACCGTGCAGGAATAGAACAAAAAGTCCATGCGGTTATCGCATTGTGCCGGCTGCAAACATCCAGTCATCGCACCTGCATGCGATACATGGCTAGGAGCATACATACAAACGCACACGCACAAATAATCCTAACATATCGTCCGGCGCCAATTGAGGTGCGGGGGACTGCGCCTTTACGGCACATGCCTTGCCTCCTGACACCGACGATGGACATGCATACGTGCATAACTGCACACACGCTGCCCGCACATGCTGCTTCACGTTGCATTGCTCTCGGCTGCTGCTACTGCTCCCTTCCATCCAGTCACCAGCTTTTCAGCTGCACCTCTCCAGTATGCCGCTCTGCACCCACATCACCAGACCGCCTCAATGCGGCCGCTGTCCGTTGCCACCGTTGCCCCGTATGCACTTCGTTTAGGCACCGCTCCCCAGGAACACTCTCCAGGTCACCGCACCATTTTTAACGTGTTTCTTTTTCACTGACAATTCCATCCCGAGCTGGCCAAACCCTCTATCGACAGCCACACCCCTCAAGCCATGGCCGCATTGGGCGGCTCACCCGTCGCTGCTCTCGAATGCATTGTTGTCTGACGTTGCCGTGGGAGTACCCTGAGCGCATCACCTGTGGCTGTTCGGTGTCTTACGCTGACCCAAAGCCGCACGTAAACCGCGTTCAAGCACCAGGTCTGCCTGTCACCCGCTTTCAGCGTCATCCGAAGAGCCCATGTCCATTCACGTATCCTGTAGCGACTCCACCGACCCGCTAGAGACCAACAGCAGCGCGCATTAGGCGCACGGGAGGTAGAGCAGCAGGCCACGACATGTTCAGTACGTTCAATTCTTAGTATCAGGATCAATCAAATCTCTCAGCGCCCTCACAGGTAGCCATCGAGCTTGTCCTGCCGTTCCGCATCTTCGTTAAAGCCGTTGACGCCCTTGATGAAGAGGAAGCCTGCAAAAGATCGGATCCGGAACATGGACGACTGAGCTAGGGAGGATGTCAGGAGCCAGAACTCCGGGAACCCCGGAAAGGATGACCGGGGTGCACTTGGTCGCACGCGGATGTAGGAAACTGGACCGTATGGTGGAAAGTGTATTCGACTTGGCAGAACGGCACGAAGTAATCAGGCCGAACCAAGGATTGATGTTTGTCGAAGTGGAGTGCTCTCACCGGCGGTTGGGAAGCCGGTCACCGCGAAGAAAAGTAGGATTGGTGCCCACAAGGGGTTGTCGGGAGGCAAGACACCAAAGACGGGGTTCCGGTCAACGAACTCAAAAATCGATCCCACGGCTGCGATTGCTGTGAATATTGAGAAGAGGAGGTATAGCGGCCACGGGAGCCCCGAGCTGCCCTGCTGGGCTTGAAGCTCGCGCTCTTTCTCCCGGCGAATCCATGGTGGAAGCTCCTCGTCCTCGGTTACCTATCAAGGACAACGAGAAAGGGATGTTAAGATGTTTCTGATTGTTCATAAATTTCAATTGCAAAGGCTTTTCATTCAAGGGCCGCACCGGCTTAGGAGATGACCGTTGTTCCGGCTGAGCAGAAGGGATGAATCCAGCAACAGGGCGACCGCCAATACCTCTAGATCTCCCTATAAATACTGGCACGCTCCAAGAGCTTTTTGTTGATTGCCGCAGGCCACACCGCGCACTGGCATTTGTGAGTTGAAGCATATTTGACGATGAAAAGAAAAACTAAAAGCTGGCGATTAGGATCGGCATGCCAGCGCTTTGTGTGGCTAAGGGACCATCAGGTTTCCATTTTACAGATACCCGTACGGCATCGCTGGTTCCTGGGTGGTTCCTGGTTCTTTCCAAGGAGCAAACGGCGAAGGATTTCGGGAACGCCCAACTTGTAGTCATACTGCAATCCAGTATTTCGCTTTTACTCGTTTTCGAAGGAGGCATTGGAAAAGCCAAAGCTGCAACGTGCACCACCCGCAACTACACCAGCCCTAACCGTGCCAAGGTCTGGTCCCTGTTGAAACTTATTAAAATTTATACGCCTCGAGGCTTTGATTTCTAAACTGAATAGGGAACGATGCAGAGCGTGTCAGGTTGCCATGAGCAAGTGAGCCTTCGGCAATCACAGAACACAAGGCCAAGCCAATTTACGTGGCTTAGAGGTCAATACCCTCGTCAAATAGATCGTCTTATAGTGCACACATCGTCGCCCAGTAATGGTGTTCCATCAACAGCGCCATCGGCATCCACGTCCACGCGAAAGGACTACAGTGTCAGTCTCTTCGGTAAGTCCCAGGTAGATAATATCATCATCAACACACCTCCTTAGGACTGGGGCAGCCAGGGTAGCGCCTGACAGGCGTTGGTTTTGCAACCTGGACCCGAAGAGCCTTGCCTTCGCTATCGCCCTACGAGATAATCCTTATCGTCTTGCCATCAGATGCTCTCAAGTTCAATGGACCAGCTCCGGAGCTAGTCAACGGCCGGCTGGCGATGGTTGGGCTGGTGTCAGGGGCATGGGAGGAGGCTCACACAGGGCTGACACTGGCACAGCAGGCGGCGCAGCTGCCGCTATCAGATCTGCTGCTGCTGGTGCTGTGGGTGTACGCGTCGCTGGTGCCCATACTCAAAGGGGCCAAGATGGAGGCATTTGGTGAGTCGAGGACGATCTGAATTACAGGTCGGGAAATGCAGGGGCTTGTGGGCCAGGGCCCGGCCGTAGGAGAATGCGATTGTTACAGTGACCTCGTGTCAGCAGGCGGGCACTGACGAGCGTCCAGGCAGCGCATGAATCCATGTTCCCGACGGCCGTTATATATCTGAAGTATCTTTACCGACCAGGAAGTCAATGGCGTTATGTCCCGGCCACAGAAGCACTTCGCATTAATTTAGCTTCCGATCTTTTGCAGCGCCGTCATTGCTAGGCAACTGTGGCTGCCGGGGAAGGGCGAAAGTTTAGCTACAGTGGGTCGGCCGTACGGGTCATGAGGCGGCTCGCAAGCGAGCAAGCGTACTACACAGTTAAATCGCACAGTTATCGCAGGGCAAGCCCGTTCCGACATCCGTTTTCTCGTCATATGTTTGCCGCACGTTACTATGAGAGAAGGTCAAAGAGGCGTTTAGAAATGATCTATCATGAGGTAAACTGTTCAGGTGCGCTGCATTATCTGCTGATGCTGCCGAGGTTGCGGCGCCGCGGGATCTCCCTTGTCTCCAGCTCCTTTTTTCGTCTGACCAGGGTTTTCGACCAGCGGCCACAAGATTTGTGGGTTCTGTAACAATGATCATTGCTCGGTAGCGGACCCTAACGGGATTTTCTTTCCCCTGTTCCCAAGAGTTTCTGATTTAGTACGCCTCCGTTTCTTTCTCCTCCATTCCGCAGGCTGGTTCACGCCGCGCGCCGAGATCACCAACGGGCGGGCAGCCATGCTCGGCATCGCAGTGCTGCTGTTTCTAGAGGAAAAGGCGGGGGTGCCGTTCTTCTGAACAAATGTTTGGAGAACGTTTTTCCGACGCGGGTGCCGTATTCGTATCCGTGCCGTGTTTCTACAGGACCGTCTTGTGTGGTTCGGCGCATGCGCCCTTAACCCTTAGGCTCCAGTGCGAAGGAGAGGGCAGTAAATTGTGGCGGTGCAATTGTATAGTGTAATGTACGCCTTTGCGATATGGCATACATTTATACGCTTACCAACTGATTTGCTAGGCAACAGCTATGTTTCATGATTTGGCTGCGTGGGATAGATGGATATGTCCGTATGTGACTGGCTCCTGATTTGCTGGTCGCTGATTGTGAGTAGCGTTGCGGTTTTTGTTGTGGTTAATCCGTCTATGTCCGACATCAGAAGTCTTGCTGGATGGCTGCTTGGCTCTTTAGTCTCATATGGCAGATGTCTCGGGACGCTGGTTGTATTTGGTACGGCACACCATCGTCTGACGAGCAATGTTATGGTAACCAAAACTGCAGTGTGAAGGTGGGGTATTGGTTTGCGTTGACGGGCTAGCTTTGGGTAGACGTTAGGCATTACAAGTTGCATTGGCCGTACCGGCCAGTAACATGTGTCTCCCCGCAAAGGACGTCCGTCAAGGGGCGCACAGCTAACTATTACGCCAAGCTTTGGGTAGCCGGGTCGGTCAGGACACTGCAGTCCTCATTCATTTAGAAATGATCTTCATCCCACGGTCATCTGGTTTCAGCAACGCTGTCCATGTAAGCTTCTTTGGCGTGCAATACTAGGGGGTTTGCATTGCTGACATACTGGCCCTCTCTGTTGTATCACCACCATAGTAGTGAGAACAAGGCAGCAGTTGGGCTGTACATGGAATGCAGCATAACCTTCCGCCCTGACAATATCAGAATCTACCACGGCTTAACAGTAGCAAAAGCTTGCTACTCACCATTGTTCCCATCTCTGCCCGACGGACGGTGCAAAGCCGGCTGGGAAAATTGGCTCAAGCGAGTGTCGACATGGCGGGCGTAGGCAACGACCATGGTCGGGACATTCAGCTCCCCGGAATGCTCTTCCTCAGCCTCAGCCTCGAACGCGCACATTACACTTGCTAGCAGCGCCGAGGGCGTGGGTCCACCGCTGCCGTAGCCGCCGCCGCCGCACCTCGCTTCCGCCGCCGCTACAGCAACTGCAGCTACGGCAGATGTACAAGCAGCAGCGGCCGCAGCTGAAGCGGCGGCGCCCGCTAGCGACGAGGTTTCAAATTCACTCGCAGTACTGGCTGTAGCAGCGACAATAGCAGTAGTTCTGTGCTCCCGTCTCCCTTAACCGTCTTCTCGTGGCTCTGACTCTGACGTACTTGCTAACCGTGCTTGGAATAGTAGAGACGGGAAGCGGGGAGACCGGCTGCCATGGCCCTTACACTGCAGGAGAACTCAGCCTCAGCCAACCACGGCCGCGCGACTGCGGCTCACCAGCCGCCACACGACTACTGCGCGGCCGACCAACACACCCCTACGGGGCAACACGCGCGCGACAGAACAGCACAAGACGCGAGCCCAAGGACCGCCCAAAAGCCACCTGAACGAGACTCACACACCGCGACCGAACTACCAAAGAAAAAAAGGGGGGCCTGGACTGAACCAGGAACGAGCCCTAGCTCCCCAAGGCCGCAGTGCGGAGCTAGAAAGACGTAAACCTCGATGAAGAAACCCTCCCCTCTGTCGACTCGCCGACTTTCCAGCCGCCCCTCAGTGGGCGTCTGCCGCTGGCCCGCCGCTGGCCGAGCCCGGGGTGGAGTTGTCTGCAATTGACCAGCATTAAGGAAAAGGGGTGGTTGGAAGCGAGGGGGTAACCAACGAAGACCAAGGGGGAAGGTGGGTAGGGAATAGTTAACTGCAAGCTGAAGCTCTACTGAGTGAAAGGCAGAATGCCTGCAACGAAGGAGCTGAAGCGTGATATACTCGCCACTCGAATACGGTTGTACGACAGTCGCACAGAACCAGACTTAGAGGCTCCGATCGCTTCGCTCCGTCGCATCTAAGTCAACAACAATGGCCGACGGTTGCAATGTCGCCTCAGCAGGCATCACCAGGGGGAGACCTGGTGAGCTGCCCTGCACGACAGTGGCACCTAATCCTGGTTCCGCGTGGCGTGGCCAGTGTGTGTGGATGTTTTTTGTATGTGTGCGTGTATGTGTGTGTGCAGGCGGCACTCCGCGGCAGCAGCTGAACGGCGAGGGAGGATTACCTTATCGACGGCAAGATCACCGGGGCCCTGACGCTGCTGCTGCCCCAATTACTCGACACAATAATATCGGGCTTCGTTGTTAGATGAAGTGTGTTGTGACGTTGGGGGGCTGTGAGCCTGTGACAGTGTCAACGTGACAAACGAACTAGTTTGTTTCTGCGGAGGTCGCCTTCGCGTCATTCGTCCATTCTTTTCAGCCGCAGCTTACGAACGCACGTTCCACACCAACCCTTTCCAAGACTGCACGACGCGATTCGGCTAGGCACTTAAGGTCCGTGCGCTCTCATGGCGGCCGTCCATTTCCCCGCTAGCCAGTGCGAACGGCCCTCGCACTTCCCATACACCGCCCAGAAACCCAACCCTAAGTCCCCGAGGCCCCCGAGGGACCATCGCGGCAGCGCCCGACAACGAACCAAACCTACGGGAGTACTTGGGTTAATATGCAAGGGTTCCTGTTCATGCGCGGTCTTTGACGAAGCTTCTGAGCCGTATTATGTCATTCTCGGGGGCCGCCATACCGACAGCCCGTCTAGCGTGTCTTCCATGTGGATGTGGAGCTCACGTGGCGTCGATTCGCTTTCAATATGCCAGTAACTGTTCCTGCCGGGCTGGGTTCATCCTCGATAACGGGAAGACAGTTGAGTGGCGGCTTCTTGCGGTCAGGGGCGGCACGTCACTGCTGCAGGAGCGGCACGTCACTGCTGTTTTGTAGGCAAGGTTACATGGAAACGCTACCTGGATGGTGCGGCTTCTACAGCAGCCCCTCCCAGCACCTGGCCGTATTCATCGTCAGATTACGCGAAACGGAAGGGTCTGATAAAGTTTCATGCTAGTACCGCTTCAAGCACAAACGAGCCGTGCGCTGGCTTGTGTTCCTGTCAAGGATATCGTGCATGCTAGGGGCTGGCTGGATGTCCGTGGCCGCAACCAAATGCCTTACCCGTCCTAGAGATTGGAGAGGTGAGAGCTGGATCCGCCGTTGTTTGCGTGTGCGGAGCGGTTGTACCGTTGGCGTGACCAACGGCCTCATTAGGTAATACCAAGCACAATTAGTATAGCGCTGTAGACACACGGCCCAAATAGTTAATGATTGCACCTAACTATAATGTTTCTGGACATGTGGTATTTAACGTTACGATGAGCGTTGTTGAATAAGGCACCGTACGGCGTCCTCAACCGTACATTTCCGAAAGTAACCCGAGTGAGGGCCAAGATGAACAACTGTACAACTAATAGCCCTGCATACGACTTTCTACTCTTTCGGAGCAGGGTGAAGGCAGGTTCAAGATACGCGAGGAGAAATGCAGCGAGCATCTTTTTCCATTTTGCGAAGCTATGCTAACAGCACGTTTGGTCTTGAGGCATCAGCACAGCGAGCAGCTGCAGTTGGATCCCTCATCAGCGGGGCTGGTTCTTGCTCGGCTTTGCCTACGCCTGCTGTCAACCGCCCCTCGCTTCTCTCTGGCTTAAAAATTTCGGACGCGTGCTGTCAAAATGCCGTTCGATTTGCTGGCGACTACAAGCCTGCTGTGCCAGGGAACGCCATCGACAATTGGAACACGCTTCGTGCCTCCTTTGACAAGGAGCGGAAAAACTCGCTGGGAGGCAACTACTATCTAAATGTTCTTGTGATGGGCTTTGCATACTGGCTGAACGAGGCTTACTACTTTCCTCCGCGCACCCTATACATCGGGGCCCTCGTTTTCTTCTGCTTGTACGTGCGCAAAGGGTTCTTCAGCACGCCATTGGCGTACAAGAACGACTACTAAACTCACATGAGGCGGCAAGGGCTAGCAAGGCCCCCGCCGGAGTGTCAGGGAGGTCGTTGCTTATCTTCGGTAGCTTGTAGCTTGTAGATGGTGCTTACCGTCCTGGCGATGTGCCACGTACGAAATGTGGATGATACGCTGTGGCGTGATATTGCTCAGGAATAAGCGTCTTTTGGGGGACTGGGAACAGAGCACACTCATGTGTTTTGGAAGGTGGGTCGAGGTGGAACGTTGATCGCAGGCTTATCACGTGTGTTACATCTGGATAAGGCAGGCTAACGGCCAATTGTAACTGTCGTGCTCAACTGGGCACATGAGCTTTGGACCTTTATTGCATCCCTCTCCTTTCACACAGGCCTTGTGCTTGCTGTCATACGTGTCTATCCAGGCTACCTCGCTCATGCTCATGCGCTCGTGTTTATGCATCAGTCGTTCAACCTACCGACAGTAGGCACTGCCACAGGGCTACTCCGCAATAGGCTACTAATTGTTGCATAAGCCGTCCCGCAGTGTTTGAGGCGTCTCTCAACGCCCTCTCCTACGGCCAGTCACAGGCCGCAGCCAGTTCAAAACCTGGGTACCGAATCAGGGTCCACTTCTGTTATCAACGGCCCCAAAAGAAAGCCCCAACTTTCCCCAGCTTTCTGTACAAAAGGTCCCGCCACTTCAAGCCGCAGCCATCTCATGGGTCTATGTGTAGACATCTATCAACTGCTACCCCAAAGGCGGCTACGTACGCTAACACGTAACCCCCCTATCCCCCACCATGCAAAACGTTATCATGCCAAGGTCACAGTAAAAAGCCGATCACGCCGAGATGCGTAGTGACCTGGTCATCAAGTTTGCATGCAGGGAACAATAAGATTCTCCAAAAAAGTTCTTCCATGTGCCGAGGACACACACACACACACACACACACACACACACACACACACACACACACGGGTGCGGACACCAAAATGCGCTCGCATATGCGTGCCGCTCGGCAGCTGATAATGATAAGGATGATAACAAGAACAGTAATAACGATTGTGGCAAAACAATGTCACGTCACGTACAAAAGCAGCGCGCGGGCGCACATCTCGGTGGCAGCGGAAGTGCCGCTACTGTCAGCTGCTAGGTGATTGAAGGATAAAAAAGGAAGCACATCCCAGCATGGGACCGGACCCAGGCCGGCCTCAAGATAAAGATAAAGGAAGGGAAAACAACATCGCCAAATTCAGACCAGACCATCATAGACGACGACCTCCTGTGCCAACTAACGGCGCACATCGGTAAGGTGGGGGAAGAGGTGGGGCGACGATGAGCGCGGGCTGCATCCGTTGCCGCAGCCAGCCATCAGCCACCGGGGCTACAGCTCCCCGGTGTAGCCCCGTGTGTAGGTGTGTACGGTGTGCTGTGCAGTGCCGTTGATGCTGCCCTGTCGGGTGTTGGAGACCTGGCCGTATGCGGCGGAGATTCGCGAAACTTTGCCTGCGCAATGCCGATTATACGACACAACACAGAATCCCAGGTTAAGCACGCAGTGCCGAGCAAGCTTGCGAACTATACAGGTGAAGAAAAGCTCCATCTACCTCCATGCCTCTGTTGTGGCCCATGAAGTTTTATCCCTGTTTATCTGACCACCGTAATTAATGGTCGCATGTTGCCTTCAACGGATCAAACGGAGTTTTAAACATTTGTTGACATAGTCATACATACCTATGTATACACTGCATACACACATGCAGGGCTGGAGAATGCGGGGTGTAGCTAGAGTACGAGAAGGAGGGTGTACGTTGAGGAGCCAAGGGGAAAGCGCCGTAAGGGAGGGGAGCGGCGGTGAAATGGACATGGACCTGTGAGGGCGTCTCCAGCTCTCACCACCACCGCTACTACCACCACTACCGTCATATCACCCGCCCACGTACCGCTGGTTGCAGAGATGGTGGGGATGGGTCGCACCAGGTGGAAGGGCAGCTCCAGTCGTTGCCCCGGCTGCGGGTGAGGGTTGACGGAGGGGTGCGGGTAGGGGTGCTGCTCCGAGCCGCGGGCGGACAGCGGGGGCCCAGTGGCGGTACTGCTGCGGGCCGATCCCAACGGGCCCTCAGCAGAGGAGGACAGGCGGCCAATCTGAACATGATGGGGGGAAGCGAGGGCGCAGGAAAGCAGGGGGAAGAAAGTGAGGAGATTGCGAAAATATATGCAGATGCGTGCAAATCGCTAATTAAGCAGCAGCTGCCGGAGTCCCAAGCAGAAAGGTAGAATGGGTGGGCGGGTGGGTGGGAGGGATCAGGGAGCAATGGGTGGGAAGGGGGCGGCAGGGATGATGACCTGCGGGGGAGGAGTCAAGGCGGCCCAAAGTCGCCACACACCCACACGACCTCCACTGCACCACCGCCCGTAGAGGCGGTCTCAGCTTCGCTGGAACCTCGATACCTCGATACGCCGCCGCCCTGGAACAAAACAGCTCTCCCCATCCCTACCTCTCTCCCTCCTCTTCTCGTCGTTCTTTCCCTCAGTTTTGATCTCCTCAGCTTCATTTTTCGTTTATTTCTTACTATTTCGTTTTCGTCTCCTTCTTTCCTTCCTTTTCACCTCTTTCTTTAACCCTTTGTGATTAACCCTCCTTTCTTCCCGCTCCGCTTCTTCTCACCGCCACTGACGGCAACCTCAGAGCCCTGGCCGAGGACGGCTGTGAGCTCAGCTGCGGGGGCAAGGAAGAGCCACTGCGGCGCTGAAGGTCGTCCTCACCACCCGGCGGACCCCGAGCAGCTGCGGCGGCTGCGGCAGCAGCTGCGTGTGGGCATGGATGGAAGGTAAGCAACAAAACAGGAAAAAAGAGACGGGCGGAGTAGGGGTAAGAACATAGACAGGGTCGTAAGCAGGGGTGTGGCATTAGGGTAGACGGGCGCAAGTGCTTGAGGAAAGGTCGGGGGTACAACGCAAATATAAAGGATGTGGGGCCAGGCGGAGCAAGAAAAACGCCATACGCCACAGCTCGCACACCTGCATGCACACGCGCACGTGCACCCACCCTCCTGCAATATGGATGCGGAAAAGTGCACGCCCATCATGCTACCGGCTGTCGACACAGATGAAGACTGCTGCTGCTGCTGCTGCTGTGACGGAGTTGCCGGTGGCGGCGTCAGGGCGCCACAACCGCTACTACTGCTGAGCCCATGGAACCCAAATTCAGAAAAGGCGTGCTGCCGCTGCGCAAACGGCGATGCGGTGTGTCCACCGGCAGTTCCGCCGTACAGCTGATGCTGCTGCGGCGGCTGGGACAACGCGGCGGAAGGGAAGGACGTAAGGCCCGAATGGGAGGGTCGAGCGCTGAGAAGCTTGCTTAAGCGTGGTGTGGTTCCGGAGCCGGTGGGGACGTCGCGGGGAGACAGCAGGGCGGCGACGGTGCTGGAGGTTGAAGTAGACGTAGTGGTGGTGGTGGTGGCGGTGATGGTGGTAGTGGTGGCGGTTGCGGTTGAAGCTGCGGCTGCTGCTGCAGCGGCAGCAATGGCTGTGGAGCCAGGGGTTGGTGCGGCCGAGCCGGGGTAGAGGAAAAGGTGCAGGAGAGGGAAGCCAAGGGGGCGGTGAGGAGTTGGTTGTGTTGTGGGAAAGCGTGCATGACCTGGGCGTCTCAGAGGCAGCAACTGAGCACCAACCGAGGAGTCGGGGTTTGGGTTAAGTGGCGGCAGTGCAGCGCATCTGTCCCAGCTGCGTCTTCCCACAGCAGTTCAATCTCACCAAACACAAAGCCCTTGTCCTTGTGCTTCTTAGTTCCCGCACAGAGCTGACACGTGCATATATACTCGCTCAACAGCTTCACGCTTTTCCCAGAGGCCCTGATGAGACCCTCATGCACCCGCCCGCGGTCAACACGGCTGCATATCGGCTGCCGATCCTTTCACCTTTTTCATTATGCATGCCTTGTGTGTGGTAGAAAATCACCCTACAACTCTACACTGCATATGTAGAATTCTACCTCCCATCCCATTCCCACTGACCCAGTTGCTTTTTGGAGATGGTCCGAAGGACTCCGTCGCCCGCAGAGCTCCCCGACGGCGACAGCAACGGATCTGGACTCACAAACCGCTGCACCGAGCCGCGTGCTGTACCAACGCCAGCACCGCTTGCCGTACCCTGGCGGCTGCTGGAATCTAAAAACGACACCTCGCGATGGGCGTTACCGTTGGGAGTTGCTTGGGATGACGCCGGGCCGCCGCTGCCGCCACTGCTGTTGACTTGGGTGCTGTGACTGCCTGTGGCTGTGGTTGTGGCAGCGAGTCCAGCCTCGCCGGCATGCTCGGTACGGTCCTGGAAAAGTTAGGTTCATTGCAGCAGCGGCAGTGTGCGTGAGCGGACCCCCTCATGCACCCACTCACCCAGGGACCCACCACCATTCGACCGACCCACTCCCAGCAGACCACGTCTCAGTATGGGGTCGACCCAGCCGCCTGACCCCCGATCTCCCTAAGAAGCGCGGCCAGTAGCTCCCACGCTCAATTACCTCCACCTCCCTGCAGTCCCCCACCACCGCACATGCAGCCCCCCAACCCCCCTTCATACCGTTCGTACCTCCGGTGGGTGCTGCTGTTGCCCGGTAGCCTCCCAGTTCATCATGATCATCCCCGTCTCCGTGCCGCCCCCGCCGCTGGGCCCCCCGCTGCCTCCCGCAATCTCCTGAAGCAGCTCTGCAGCGGAACACGCATCCGCCAGCAGCGTCAGCCGCCGAGACAGCGGATGGTCCTCGCCAAGTACGGCCACGCAACGCTCGTAGAGCTCCGAAGCCAGACGCGGCACATCGTACTGCGTATAACAATGCATAACAAGGTCAAGAAGATCCTAACAAAAAAGCGAGCCACAAAGCACAAATAAAAACCACATCAGAATGTGTTCCTTTCTTCTTTCCCGCTGTTGTCCGTTTGCATAATCCCAGGAACGGCCCGGTCAGGTGATGTACCGTAGATACATACGTACATACCTATAAACCTACGTAGGCAACGTGCGTCACTCAAGACAGCAAATAGGTAGGACCACACCATCCAGTCAGCCGATGGCCCTACCTGCTGCAGCTGCTCTCGGCCCTGCGGCTCCACCGCCCAGCTGGTCAACAACGTCGCCACGTAGGTCCCCGACCTGACCACCGAGGTGTTGCCGCGAGCGCAATCATCCCCGCTGCTCCCATTGCCACTCCCTATCCCATTTCGAAAGGGCCCCCGGCGGGGCCCTGGGCCCCCCACACACCCGCCACCTCCTCCCCCTGCAATACCGCCCGCTCCTCCCATAGCTACCCCGCCGGCACCAGTTCCGTGTTGTAGTTGCGGTTGATGTTGTTGCTGCTGCTGGTATTGTGTGTTAAGGTAGCGTATGGCCGCTCGCAGGACGTCTGCGGCCCTGGGCAGCACGCCGTATCGAACGAGGGGCTGTCTGTACAAGGCATTGAGAGCCATGTTGGCGAGGGCTAGGCACGCGTACTGCGTGTCGTAGTTGTCACCGCCGCCACTGACCAGGCCATTTCTGTTGGGGGGCCCGAGGGAAACCACATGCAAATGATCATATGATAATGATGATGCAAGAAGCTGATGGGGTGCATCTGAACTGCACAACTGCCGCCGCCCCCCAAAGCACCACCAACTATTGGGGAGGGCGTTTTCAGGATTTGCTTCGCCAAAGGGTTCTTTGGAAAGTTTTTAGGGTTGTTGGGTTGGAACTGAAGTCGGCACAACCTTCCAGGGAAGTGGCACTGTGTTGGACCCACGGGTCCGTGGGTCCATGGGAAACTGATAGAGCAGCAGCGGGAGCAGGAACCAGATATACAACCTTCCATAACCCTTTATCCCCAAGTCCCTCTCCACTTTCAGACTCGAGTCGCGCCGACACCTTTTCGCCTTTCTCCCTGCCAGTAGCACTCCACCCAGTAGCCACACACCACTACTCACGTGAGCATCTGCATGAGGCGGGGCAGCACCTGCGAGTCCTTGTGAATGGCCTCACGACCTGGAGTGCCGGCAGCAAAGGCGGCCAGAGCGCTGGCGGCGGAGGCACGGACCAGTCTGCAAAGGGAACGGGAGCGGAACCAGACCCACGACACACACACATATGCTGGAGAATAGCTGGAGCCCAATGCCCCTGTGAGATCTGAGAGGGGCAACTCTCTTGATGCACATACATACATACATACATACATACATACATACATACATACATACATACATACATACATACATACATACATACACATATACATAGGGTGTTCAGGCCGGAAGGCTGGATGCACACACAGGAAGGGGCCGCCGGCCCCGTCAGGCTCCTCGCCCAGCCCAGCAACCCACCCACCCAGCAACCCCCCACCAGCACGTACCCGTACTTGCTTCCGAGGCCCTCCCGTACAAGCGGCAACCAGTTCCCCGACTCTTGGGCGGCATAACGGGGCTCACTGCGAACCACATTACGGATCTGGGAAAGGGATCACCAGAGGGAAAGACAGGAGAGCAGGCCCCGTAGTTGGAGGCGAGGGAGTTCTAAGGGAAAGAGATTGCGGAAGCGGAGGACGGGCAGCAAACGAATGAACGGATGGAACGCAGAAACACGCAGTTTACGCGTCGTTTCTTAGAGCATCGCCAGAGGCAAGGCAGGACGCGGAACGCGGGTGCATATGCCCCTACAAAAGCGCTGTGATCCCCGAGACCCACAACAAGAGGCATTCCCCTGTTCGTATTTTAACTTGGCAAGGCCGTGCACACGTACAACATTCCAATGTCTTTGTACAATGTCGTGCAAGTACCGTACACCAGAGGGAAGTACGTCGTACCATGAGCAGCCCTCGTGCCGTTAACTCCTCGTAATGATTCAGAGTCTGATCCATCGCCAGCCACTTCTCCGCCGTTGCCACGTAATCCTGCACCGTGCTATGCTCCAGGGGAGGTGGCGCGACGGCGGCATCCAACCCGTCATCTTGTATGGACGAGCCCAGAGTGGACCCCGGTGCGGCTGGCTCAATGACTTCCGTCTCCGTCACGATGGGCTGCGGCGGCAGCTTGTTGGATGGACCGCCATCGAGCGACAAGCCGCCGTCGTCGCCGATTTCGCCGGTGGCAGCACCGGCTGCTGCCGATGTTGCACCGGAAGGGAGCGGCTTGCGTGGGTGACTGACTCGGTGTACGAAGGATAGAGCGACCTTAACAGTGCTGGCCCTTGGGTTGGTGGAGGGATAGGGAGTGGAACCTGAAGCCACAGGCGGCGATTGCGGCGACGGCGACACGGTGCTGGTGCCATTCATGCTGGTTGCATAGGTGTTACGGGTGGTGGTGAGGGTGGGATTTAAAGAGGCTATGGTGCTGGGTCTCCCTCGCAAGGCAGTATCGTCACGGGACGTGGGAGGCATTATGAAGGTCGGACAGGAAGCGGCTGGGAATGTTGGTCGCGGTGTGCGTTATGGCACAGTTTAATTGTTGTTCGAAGGCTGCTGGTGCGCTCGGGCTGGCTACCACTTGTTGATGCTGAAAACACGTGTATTATCTGTACTGAGCTGAGTAGGTGAGCCGAGTAGGTGCGGGCCGCTGCAGGGGGCTGTACCCCGATGTCCTGAAAAAGCGTCTCTCCGCTGCGCAGCGCTCCCGCCAGAGCGAGCGTTACAATTTGAAGAATAACATGTACAACTCTTTACCACTTAAGGCCTCTGTAAACAGCGTTGATGTTTTATCAGGAAAGGGCCATGCCATCTCATCCCTTCTCAAGACAGGCTGAAGGGCCGCGTACCTGAGGTCAATTGAGCACTTGTCATACCCGTTTTTGCTCCTTATGATCCAGTAACCGTGCACTTCTCTGTAACCGGCTGGTCATGAAACGCAGAAGAGCAATGAAGACCCCCAAGCTTGTGTTGCGCATCCCGATATTGGTATCAGGAAAATATAAAAAATATACACCGAAATACAATAAGGGATTCGGCTTTCAATCGCATAAACTTAAATATCGCTTAATGAGCACCCCTGTTACGTAGTTCTTAGCGACAACTAGCCACAAAAGAACCACCGCATCATTATACTTAACACTTCTGCAACAACCTGTCGCATACATATGAAATGACGTTAAACCCCCCGACATGGAAGTACGGAAGCATGCCCGTGCCGTGGCAAAACGCGTTCACCGATAATATGATATTTGTCATCTGCAGCTCTCGCAGGCTATTATTCGCTCACCAAGCAGAGCATCTGCGTTGGCTGAGCGTTGGTTGAGTAAACCCTTTGGCCTAAAGACTATTCCGTTAGCCTTACGGCAAGCCATGTCGCACATGTGTTATCGTGATATTTAAATATGGCTGTATTTGGCACGCTTATGGTTGGATTGACCACCCTGGCTCCGGGGCCGGCGGCTTACAGCCGACATGGGCGTAGTAAACTTGTAGTTGTTGCGCAAGCAGGAAAGGCAGAACGATGGCGGCCACGGAGCGACACAGAATCTGGAGGCAGGCCAGGTGGGCCTATGCCATTTGTGGCAATTTAGTGGCAGGGTAACGAGATGGTCTCCACAGCTCACGTTTCATGCTGTCCATCTTGTGTGACTTCAGTGGCTCGCAATAAAAAACAACCCCCCAGAGGTGCTAGCACAGGGAAGGAAGTGGGGGATTGCGTACTCACACACAGCCAACTCTTCCCTCTTATCGGCCGCCACCATCCCTTGCTTGCCGCCCTGACCCTGGCCTCCCGCCCCCAACACCCCTACCTCATCCCCATGCTGACCCCTGCTCACGACTCCACCCCCGGAAAAGCGTTCCGGAACCCTTGGGCCCAACCAGCCAACCGTCCTTCATTGTATTAAATCACGTTTCCTTCCCACCACGTTCCGCCACCGGCTTTCACCACCTCCTGCGATTTTAGCTGACACGCTCCTTTAACTCATCACCATCCTATTACTTGACAACTCATGCCATTCTCCCATTACCGCCGCCATCACCGTCGTTCCTGCTCTCGACCAGCAGGGGGGGCCCAGAAGTCCCGCCAGCGCTGGCCCCGCACCTACGTGAGCGAGTCAGGCATGAAGCTGAAGCAGTACATGGCCAGCGACGGTCAGGAGCACCTGGGCTCGGCACTGCAGAAGCGCCAATTCAAACCCTTCCCGGGGCCCCCGCCCAACTCGGGCCCGCCGCTGCGCATCCTGCCCATTGGCGGGTTGGGGGAGATCGGAATGAACTGCATGTTGGCCGGCGTGCGGGATCGTTACGTGGTGATTGATGCGGGCCTTATGTTTCCCGAGTGAGTGAGCGGGTGTGGGGGGTATGATTTACGTCTGGGTTTGAACTAGGGTGGTCGTGGAGGGGGGAGAGTTTGGGAGGGCGGGGCCGTGCAGAAAGTTGCGGAATATGGGCAGAGAAGGGTATTGAGTGGGGACCGGGCCGACCGAGGCAGCTACTCAGGCCGACACCCTGGCTGTCAAACCGTTACCCGTTTATAAACCGGTTAGGGACTTGCACGTGGTGGGACTGAGGGAGGCGGCGGGTGCGTGCATCGGAAAGTATGGCCGCCCTCTCTGCTCCGCTGCGCCTACACACAGACGTACATACAGCTTCATTGGAATACTCTAACGCATCCCTGGACTAAGGAGCTCGCATCGGTATCAAGTTTTATCACCGTGCGAAACCATCGGGGCATTTCCTTCGTCTCGACTTCTTAGGTCATTAAGACACACACGTACACACATACAGACGCACGGTCCCCGCGGGGCGAATCGTCTCCGGAACAACAGGACGCTGCTACTGCTGCTGCGCGCTATTATTTCTATCTGCTCAGCAGCGTACAGCTGAATCCCTCCTGCGCGATTCCTTTCCCCTTTGAAAGACGAAATTTTCCTATCCCACCCCGGTCCCTCCCTCTTCTTCCCCAACCTTTTTTCCTCTCTCTCCCTCCCTCCCTCCCGCTCTCGCTGCGCAGCTTCTCCGACCTGGGCATGCAGAAGATCCTGCCCGACACGGACTTCCTGGCCCAGTGGAAGGACCGCATCGAGGCGCTCATCATCACACACGGCCACGAGGACCACATCGGAGCTCTGCCCTGGGTGAGGGGCCTGGAGGGGGAGGGGCGCGAGGAGGGGGGCGTAAGAAGCTGGCTGTATGGGGCAGAATGGAGGCTAACAGAGTGCTTCGGGAATTTGTGTGATATGATTCGACCTGACCTGCAACATGCCCTACTGATCTATGTCTGTCCGTCTGTGTTTCTCCCCCCTGCCCCGGCCCCCCCAGGTGGTTCCCGCACTGGACCCGGGCACGCCCATCTTCGCGTCCTCCTTCGTGATGGAGCTCATCAAGCGGCGGCTGACGGAGTACAGCTTGTGGGACGAAAAGAGGTTCATCAAGTTCGACATGCGGCAGAAATTCCAGGCGGGGCCGTTCGAGTGAGTGAGGGAGGGGGCGAGAAAGGGGGGATGCAGCTATGGTGGGGAAGAGGAGATGAGTTGTGAGGATCTGAACCTGTGTACAGATGTATGTATGCAATGTATGTATGTTGTTACAAGGTGGTATAACTTCACCAGTGGCCCCCTTTCCCTTGGAGGCAGTTCCTTGCTCTCCCCTGCGAGAGGGGCACCCTAATCCATTCACCCCATCCGACTTCAGAATGTATTCGTTGAGTTCAGCAACTCACCACCAGCATCCAACCAAATCTAGCGGATCAACGGCGCCTCAACTTAGTTCCTGGTCAGCTCGCAAGTTGATATTATCACGTCGTACACCGTCCACAAGATGGGGGGCCACCTCCCATTTCAACACCCCTCACACACCCGAGGGGTCGGCAGGCGGATTTGAACCCGGACACTCCGGGAGCAGAAGTCAAGCCTTAACCTCTGCCAGCCACCTGCCATATAATCTTATAATATAGGCTTGCTTCCACTAATGTATGTATGTATGTACGTACGTAGGGGATCAGGGGGAAATGGCAGTGGAGGTTGGACGGACGCCTCACGCGTGTTGAGCGGTGGGTTGGCCTCATCAACCTTTCTCCCCCTTTTTCCCTTTCCTTTGCCGCCGGAGCCACGAGCCCCTCCTCCCTTAGCGTTAGGTTACTACCACCAGCCCCACCACCGCACCCACACCTCCGCCGCACCCTTCCCAACAGGATTGAACCTGTTCGAGTGACTCACTCCATTCCCGACTGCTGCGGTCTCATCATGCGGAGCAGCGAGGGAACCCTCGTACACACGGGTGGGTGAGTGAGTGGGGAGTTGGTTGGGGGGTAGTGGTTGGTGGAGAGGGGCAGGCCAGGACGTACGGCCTTGGGTGTGACGGTGACTGAATTTTGTGCTGGGCGCTGTTTGCTGGGTTCCAACTTCCCTCCAACCCACCGCCCCTCATCTGGGGGTGGAGTGGGGGCCGTGTATCAGCGTTCACTCGTCCGTGGTTCGTCTTAACCCTCCCTCCCCGGTTGGGGTATACACCACCAGCACCGGGAGACTTAGGGGTATCCTGGACGTCTTGCCACAAAGCGTTTGCTTGTTTGTTTGTTCGTATGTCCACCGATGACAATTTGATATCGCTCGTTTACTTCAACCTCCCTCCTCCGGCCTCTTTCGCCTCGTCTCGGTGCTGCTGCTGCTGCTGCTGCCTCTTCCCCACGCACCCTTCTCCTCTCAGGCGACTGGAAGATCGACGAGCATCCCCTGGACGGCGAGCAGTTCGACCGGGGGCTGTTCTCCGCTCTGGCCTCCGAGCGAGTGGCCCTCATGATGAGCGATTCCACGAATGTGCTGTCACCGGGCAGGACACTCAGCGAGCAGGTAAGGGGGGGGGGGCAGGAGGGGGGGAGGATGTAGTATCCGGGGCCCAGACATATCACGGGATCCGCAACCGCCGATCGGTTCTTTTCCGAAAAACTCGCGATGTAACAGAGGGGGAGGGGGAGGCGAGGAGGGGGGAACAGATGGAGAACACAACCGAGCGCATGCGTGCTGTGATGTGATTCGTGCCAAGACCGATCCGCACGCGACCATTACCATCAACACCACTACCAGCACCAGCGCTGCTACCACCCCGCCTCCTACGGGTCCTGCAAGCACCGACCGCCACCACCAAGAGGGCAGCAACACCACACACCCCTAGAATGAATGAATGAATGAATGAATGAATGAATGGAGAGGCAACATCATCACCGGTATAATGTATCTACATATGTAGGAGATAGGTTTGTATATATAGATGTATATACACACATATGTAACACATAACACATATATCACACACACAGAATCCCCAACCTCAGCCCCACACCACTGGAACACACACACACAGACACGCATACACCCCGCAACTGCTCCCCCTACCTACCCCTACCCGCCAGGTGGTTCACGACTCCATCGTGGATAAGGTGTTGCAACACAACGGCAAGGGCCGCGTCATTTGCACCCAGTTCGCATCCAACGTGCACCGCCTGTACGGCGTCAAGCGGGCCGCGGACGCATCAGGCCGCAAGGTCTGCTTCGTGGGTGAGAGCTCTGTTCGCCGCCGCGATGTCCCCCCTGATGTGAATGAACCGTCCAAGTCAGACCGGGGCGAGGTCACTTGGCTTCACTGACTTCCGGTCCCTTCCGGTCGCCCAGCTCCCCCGGTCTCCCCACCCCCCGGGCCCCTGGAATCACCTTGACTCGCTCGTGGCTCGTCTTCCCCCCCCCGGGCCCCGTCCGTGGGAGCGTTCTACTCCATCCATGAGCCCGGACCCACACGCACACCCTACTCGGGCCCCTACACGCCACCCCCTCCCCCCCCAGGCGCCTCCCTGTCCCTCTACCTGGAGGCCTCCTGGCGGGATGGTCGGGCGCCCTTCGACCCCAAGGAGCTGGTGCAGCCCGAGGAGCTCAGACATATGGACCCCAACCAGGTGCCGTCCACACATACATACACACATACATATGTACATACATATGTACATACACACATACATGTATATGCACACAGAAACCTGTCGCGGCAGTCGACTCTTATCGTGTTTTGCAGGCACATGCGTTCCCCCGCCCCCGCCCCCACACCCGCACCCCCACCAGCCCGGTTAGGAAGTTGTGACAGAGTTGGGGCAACGCGGTGGTGAGGAATATCCCTCTGGGGATTAGGATTTGAGTTTGATATTACCGGCACCTTGGCTAGCTAGGGCTCAAGATAGCTCTGTGTTTAGGGCTGTGTTGGACCAAGCTGGGTGGTAGCCTTATTAGGGCTCAAATTATCAAGCTGGATTACTAATGGTGTTGTACTGCTGGGTTTTGTTACCCTCCTGGTATCTCCCCCCGCAACACCCCCCCCTGCTCTTTAGGTCCTCATCGTCACTACGGGTTCCCAGGGGGAGCCCCGTGCGCAGCTGTGTATGGCGGCTAGGGAGGAGTCGCGGGTCCTCAAGATTCAGCCAAATGTGAGGACGAAGAGGGAGGAAGGGCAAGGAAGGGCAGGGCGGTCAGGAGGAGGAGGGTGGGAAAGAGCTGTGGCGTGGGAGTTGCGGGCAAAGTGGAAGTGGAAGTGGAAGTGGAAGTGGGGGGCAAGCGGGGGGTGCTGTGAAGCTTCAGGGCGGGGGGGAGGGAAGAGGGAAGAACCCGTCACTTAGCCATCGGTGCATCCTTCCCATTCACCCAGCAAAACAGCATATTCATGGGCACTGGCACTTGGACATGGACGCGGGCTTGGACTCGAATTTGGCAATCATGATTGCCAACAGATATAGATCACCTATCCAGCAAGCTATCCTGCAACCAGCTCTTCCGCGGTCGCAAAGCCTCCGAAATCAAGGCGGGCTGTGAGCCGCCTGCTCGGAGCATCTGGGGGTCTGTGTGTCTCATGTACACACGTAAGTGGCCAACGCGCACGCATCAAGGGTTGTACGGCATGCCTGACATCATTGTCGTATACATGTGTGCAGGATCTGGTGCTATACAGCGCCAAGGTAATTCCGGGTAACGAGGGCAAGGTGTCCAAGATGCTCAACGCGCTGGCGGCCCAAGGGGCCCGTGTACGACAGAGCCGTGGTGATAACCTGCACACGTCAGGTGGGTGACGGTTAGTGGGGGTGGCATTTGGTGGTTGCGGGTATGCGGGTGTGGGAATAGTGCGGGCATTGGCGTGTGCATTTCGGCCTCCGATTGGTGCGTTGTGCTCCCAACAAACCCAATGTACGGCCATCTACGGCAGTATGTCTTTCGCTAACCCGCCAAGCCACCCGCGGGTCTCACGCTTAACACTTTCGCTGGGTTCCCCTTTTAGGTCACGCGTACCAGGACGAGCTCGTGGAGGTGTTGCAATCTGTACGGCCGCAGCACTTCCTTCCCGTACATGGCGAGTACGCATTCCTCACGGAGCACGCACTGCTGGCGAAGGAGAAGGCGGGAGTCAACTTTGTGGAGGTGTGTGTGTGTGTGAACATATGTCAAACATGGGGATTTAAGAACGTGTATGTGTGCCTATGTATGTGAGTGTATGTGAGTACACACACACACACGGGTACTGCGCGGGGCCGGTGTTTCACAGCCTCGTGTGTGTGTGTGTGTGTGTGTGTGTGTTTCTCCCAACAAACACCCACACTCTCTATTTGATTAATAAACGACACACGCTTGCTGCCCCGTGGCGCTCCGCAAACAGATACATGAAATGCGCAGCGTTCCCTTTCCGCGGCTAACATCATTTCACACAGACACATACACATACACACTCACGGAGCGACACAACACAACGGACAAGACAATGGCCTCCCCCTTCGTGGCTGTCATGTTCTCTTTTCGTGAGGACCTGCAACTGCCTCTCCTCTCTCCCCCCCGGCAGGTCATTCGTAACGGCGAGATGCTGGCCGTACGGGAGCGCCGCAACCGCAACACCGTCTCCATCGGCAGCATGGCGGCGGCGAGGCTGGCGGGCAAGACTGGCGGCGCAGCAGCTGCCGCTGTCGCTACAGGGGACGAGCGCGACGATTATGCTTACGAAGATGGCGACGATCGCAAGCCTACTCTGATCAAGTACGAGGGCGAGGAACCCACGTACTTTTTCAACGACGGCGGCAAGGGCACCGGCACACGACAGGTGATCGGCACGGATTGGGGAAGCGTGTATAAGGTCGATGCACTTTTGGGGACGATCGAGTACAGGTGTAGTGAGATGAGAGCGGCCGGGCAAACAGGGGGAAATGTGCGTGGGTCCTGGCCAGTGGTGCCTTGGCGTTCGGGAGTGTGTTCATTCGTGATGTGGACGTGCATGTTTTAAAGAACAAACGACTTACTGTATTACCACCATCACCACCATATCCGCCACTAGCAGTTACGGGCCTAGGCCCAGGTGAGGCAGGTGGCGGACATCTTCCCTGGTTCTGCATGTCATGTAATGTCATGTAATGTGTGTTTGGTTAAACCATATTGAACCTAAGCAAAGGTTGGATGGCGGTGCGCAGGAGATGGAGATCGACATGCGTAACACGATGGCTGTGGAGGGTGTGGTGGTGGCCGGGGTGGAGGTGATGCGTGCGAGCGCGGGGGCCTACGGGCTCAGCTGCAGAACGCGGGTCACGTCACGAGGACTGTGGACGGATGGGGGACGGCTGCTGCAGGAGCTCTCGCAAGTAGGTGTTTGTTTTGGGGGGTTGTGGGGTAAGGGCGAGAGAGGACACGAGGAGGGGGGGAGATGTGTAAACAGTATGCTGTTTGTGGAGGGAAAGAGTGGAGAAAAGAAACAAAACAGTGACTGGTGGGGGATGGGATTGAAGTGATGCCGGAAAGAGGTGGAGGGCTTAGTAAAAGCTTTATTTATAAAATCTTCTGACCAGAGTTAAAACTATTCTTAGCTGGGCTAATTTAGGAAATATCAAATCAGGGTGATGCTCCTTGCCTCTTTAGGTCGTTGACCGAGATGTTTGATATTTCATTTATCGTCAGGTGCGCGTCGTGTGACCTGGCAACGTGGCAAATGTCAACCCGTGTGACCTAACCTGTGCCATGTCCTTAATAAAAATGTCCCGAGCAAAATGAGGGCTCTTTTATTATTTTTCTCTTCTCCATGTCGTACTGGCCCCACACCCCCACTTCTGCCTCAGGCGATTGAGAGTGCGGTGATGCGGCTGCCGGGTACCGCCTCCCTGGTGGAGGTGGAGCGGGCCGCCATTGACGTGGTCAAACGGCGCTGCGTCGCCTTCAACAACAAGCGCCCTGAGGTGATCGCCATCCCCTACGAGCATGATGCACGGGACGCGCACCTTTCGGCAGTGGCGGAGACGCGGCGAGGCGGCATGCCGATGCGCTCCTCGGCAGGTGCGTCTGTGCGTGTGCAAGCGCGTGCCTGTATGTTTTTCTTGTGAGGTGTGGGCACCAGTGCCGAGAGGCAGCTAAGGGGAAATAAGGATTTCGTGTTTGCCATCAGGTAATGTAATGTAATGTAGGTAGGTGGGTAGGTAGGTAGGTGGGTAGGTAGGTGGGTAGGTAGGTAGTTAGGTGGGTAGGTAGGTGGGTAGGTAGGTAGGTAGGTAGGTGGGTAGGTGGGTAGGTAGGTACACGATGGGAGAACAAATCAGATTGCAGCTCGTCTCGTTGTGTGCCGACCCTCACTGGCCCGCGGAATATGGTTATCACCATATCCGGGCTGTTTATTGACCACCATATCCGGGGAAACGTGTGTGTTTTTGTGGGATAAGCGGTAGGTGGAGTTCGGCAGAAGCTGCGTCGTCCTCAGCTTAGGACATCGGATGTGTTCGGCGCCCCGGTGCCTCACGCAGACGGCGTCGCAAGCTCCGGTCCGTTGGCACCAGGTCGGACGCGGCCCAGCCCTTGGGAGGCGGGCGCGTCCGGGTCGTCCGTTCGCTCCACTGCCGACAGCGGTGGAGGCGCAGGAGCGCTGACGCCGGGCAACGCCCGGCGGAGCCGTCTGCCGCGGCCAGCGGAGGTGAAAGAAGAAGCGCCGGTAGCGCCGACGCAACGGGCGGCACGGCGCGTTGCTGCCGCTGATGAAGGTGGCGACGGCGACATCATCCCGATTATCGACGAGCCGGATGAGGACGAAGAGGTGGCGCAGCCGGCCGCTAGCTCGCGGCGGCGTCGGTCCGCAAGTGAGGAGCCAAGCGGCGCGCCAGGCGGTGACGGGGAGGATGACAGTAGCAGCACGCTGGGTAGGATGTTGAAGGCACGGAAGGCGGCGGTTAGCTCGCGGCGAGCGCGTGCCAGCCCGGACGCGGCCGCTGATGGCGGCGACGATGCTGCTCCCGGGCCGCCGCCGTTGCAGCCGTTGGACCCACGGGTCATTCAGGAGCGGCGGCGCCGGAACCCTCGCGACCTGCCCTCGCAGCTCGACGACCCGGATTATGGCTAAGGAATAGTCCTGCTGTGAGTTCTCCTGCATGGAGGATGGCTCGTCAAGTGTAATTCGTGACTTACAATCAGCTATAGCGGTTGCGGACAGTGCCCTTCTTTTCAGGAGCATGGTGCTGTGAGAAGATGCTGTTTACCTTCAAGCACTGTGATGGCTGGTGCTTACACACAAGGTCTTTTGAACAGTGCAGCATAGTTCGCGTGCCGGTGACGTGTTCACCATAGCCTGAAGGTTTATCTTTCTGCTTGCTGACGTACAAGCATGTATCCAGGGTATTTGGGTTAATGGATTAGAGGACGTCAACTAGCGCCCGCAGCCTTGTAAGGCGCGCTTCCGACTTCCGCTCTTTGACAACTTCGGAAGGCGGTTATGACATGGCGTTAGGCATAAACTGAGTGTAGCCAGCAGAACGCGCAGCTCTTACAGACCCTTACCCAAACCTAATGAATCAGACTAGCCTGCGACGTGTTAGCCGTTTTCAGACCCATCTACGGCGCTTCTGGCAGCGTAAGTTCCGAGCAACGCTTGCCGCATTGGCCGTTTCATCTGGTATACAGCTATCACGATTACTCCTTAAGAACCCACAATCGATTGGAAGGAGACTGTTTTACTAGCGAGGCAAAGCCGTTGTATCAGCACGTTGCCAGCGGCAGCCGCCGCAAGCAAACATCAACCGCCGGCATCCTCACCTACCAGAATTTCCTCCCTGAAATTTGAATATCACACATCACAGCGTCACTACATTCATCACCGAGAACCGCGCATGGCTGTCGAGGGAGGGCGCGGTGCCGACTTGGGTCATTTGAACAAGCCTCTGCCCATGCAACCCACGGTCCATAGCAAAACAGTTAGGTACATGGTCCTCTTAATTCGAGACCTCAAACGGTACGGACATGACACTACCGCTTCCTCACGGCGCTTTCCCAAATGGGGGTGTGGGGGCTCATGAGCCGTGCACATTCAGTGGCGGTTCTGGAAACATGTGCAGGCACGCCAATCACTTTTGCCACGAGCTGGACTTACTCTTTCCTTCCAACATCGCCGCTGCACATAGAACCACTCCCGCCATTGCCAATGCGTCTCAGCAACCGTCGTGGCACCCCATCCCACGCGCCACCCCTGGGGAGTGAATCCTTTCCTGGCGCCTCACACGTTCACAGTGCATCTACTGGCGTCGTTAATCCTTCAAACTTAAAATCCATCGTCCTGGTTATCCATATATCGCGAGTACTTGTCCTTTGGACCAAACTTCTTCTTGAACCATTGCAGCCCAGGAACGCGCCATTGACCGCCTCTTCGAAACACACAGCAAACTGCGGTGCAGGACGGCAAGTGAAAAACCAAATTGACAGAAGGGCTGCAGTTAAAACAGAGGTTAGGCAGAAGCCAACCGAAAGGGTAGGGTAAGAGTAAAGACTCTTATGAGCAGAATGGAGCAGTATGAGCGTTACGGGCATACTTCTAACCGGTATGCGGAAGGATTGCAAGGCTGAATGATATTCGGCTAGTGAATTCCGCAAGCTCGGACTATGCATGCGTAAACAATTCCAGTCATACCGCCTGCATGCGAGAAGCAATAATGCTCCAAGCATAGGGTATCCCACACTCTAGTTCAATCCAGACTGTGATTGACTTCTGTACAATGTGCTGTGTCTTCACAGCTAGGGTTAAGGGTCGACTAAGGTTTTCCGTCCAAAACAGCCGAACAAGTCGGGGCGCTTTCAGAAACAGGGGTATATGTCTATACGAGCATTGCCGAGCGTCATACCCGGCATCGCACGCTGGAAACGCTGTAATGTTCTTCTGCACTCACCAAGACACGTGAGAATGCCAACAAGCATAAGCACGCCAACCGTTATCGCAATCCCTTTTTCCGCTGGACTTTTTCCTGCCTCAAGATTATTCCACTTGTCCCGAAGCTTCTCCTTCGAGGATTCAGGAGGAGGAGGAGCTACAGTCGGAAGTGGCGGAGATATTGAAGCAGTGGTATTGTTGCCAGCTGGTGTGGAGGAGCTGCTGCTGTTAGCTGGAAGGGGCGGGGATATCGACGTGAGATTCCCTTCCATTAGCTGCCGGGATCGCCAGCGTGACGACGCATAACCTGAGTCATAGGGTGCATGGGTACTGAGGAGCATTCTCATACTTTGCCAGGGGCCATACGACTTTGCCCCGGCACGCCCGCACGGCACAGGAATCGTGATCCAGCAAAGTTCCCGGCTGTAAGCCGCACGTGTATAGCGATATAAAGGAACCATGTAACCAACGTGTCCTCACCTTGCCGCGCTGACGAAGTCGATGAACACAAGAGGAAAGCAGCCACCATCAAAAGAGGGACATGCGTCAGACGAATCCAAGCTGATTTTGTACGATGATGTGCCAAGCGACGAAGCCATCTCTCTTGTTGGCGCATTTGACTCGTAGTGGCTTCGTGCGGGTACACAGGCGAGTCACGGAAAGACGCAGTAAAATCCTAGGCAAGAGTTTTTGGTCTCAGCTTTTAGCTGCAAGGCATAGATAAGGAAAGCTTAGACCGTCAAGACAACAGAAATGTCAAGACACCTTCTTCAGCCTTCCCCACACAAAATTGTATAGTAACGATGTACACGCAGATATTACAGGGGCGCTTTACATGACCACTGCATCGTCGCAGTGGTGTTGCCTCGTGTTCTGGTGTTTCAGGACTTGGACTTGTACGAGCACCTGCATGTGTGTACATGCAACTTTCGTAACGGCGTTTCACAAACCATTAAAATTCCATGTTCGAAGTGTATGATAATGGATGGGAAAATGGCCTGCTCTCAGCAGACACGCGTGGCAGACTAATTAATTCTACAAGGCATACTAAAACTCCCTGCATCAGCGATTTTAATTACTTCAAATTATTTTGACGGCACAACCATAAATTTAATCGCGTAAGTGCTCTCAGGTTGTTCAAAACGACGGGCTTTACATTCAATCCAGCCCTTCTGTCGGGGAGCACACTTATCGAAAGACGGAAAAGCTTATGGAAACCTAAAACATTGCTCCTCTCTGTAGCAAACATCGTGTCGCCACAGGTATCCCCAAAGCAAGCACGGATCGGTGCTAATTCTCAGGTTTCCCTCAAGCGTTTTCTGCATCCTTCGGCCCAATGGAGTCCAACTAAATCAACGTCACTCACCACGCGCATGCAGGGGCACGAAGAGCCATCGTGGACTTGGGCCATAAGGCTATTCATTTGGAACCCAACCCACCAGAGACACGCACACCGCATCTGTGCGCTTGGCAGCGTCCCGATACGTCGGCATCAGCTGATTTATTGTGAAAACGGCGGGGGTCTCCCTCGTATCCCTGGGGTTAACCTGGCGGTGTTTCGTGCCACTGCCATCGGGGGCGAGATGAAGTCTGCCGACACGCATGATGTACGGCAAGTGGTGATTCCAGTCCGCCATGCCGCCAGCAAGCCAGGCAACGAGCCGACCAAGAGCTTTGGCCACAAGGATAGCATCCTTGTTGGCCTGGGCCTTATCCTGTTCCTCAGCTTCACGTGGATTTATTTCGTGCATAGGTACGCGTATGAAGTATATTGACTTTGCAGGAGCACTGCCGGCTTTGGACCGGAGCCGAGCTGTGGGCCCTATTAATTGCCATGGGGATGGCACACGTGCGAAGTGTGGCCCGCTTTTTTGTGCATTGAGATCCCTGAGTGCGCGGGGCTTGGGCTCTGGAAGGGGCCCTCGTCTTCTTTCCGGGTCTGAAAACCCAGATAGGCCCTGGCTCTGACGGCATCTATGGCAACGCCAGTCATCGCGGGTTCAGTGAACCAGTCCATTACATGCACACCGCCTCCGTTTGTCGCTTGTCGCTCTGTCGGCGCACAGGATGTACCTTAACATTGAGCCTTCAACGCCGGATGGGGGCACGACTCGTCCGGCAGGCCTCTGAGAGCTGGCCTATAGCCTGCCCGGCCGACATCTGGGGAGGTTACACGTCTCGATCCGTTATCTAGCTTCAAATGACTCGTCACAGCGCCGCTGCGGTATAGCAGGATGCCATGTTGCAGGAGGGACATGAAACTGGACCGTTCAGTTTAGGCCGCTGTGCTTCAGCATCCGTTTGTACTTGCAGAGGAGTCAAGCGTACCAAAGTATTACGCCAATAGAGGTGACTGTAGGGCGGATATGCAGGTGAGATACGTTTTGCGCCCAGCCTGCATTGCAGAAGCGATTGGCCGACTGGAGCGATATGCTTGAGGATATGGGACAGTCCTATGCTGAACGTAGTTGTGTAATGGCCTTCAGAGGTTGGCACGTGTTTTCCTCTCCCCAAGGACCGAGGAGGTCCCAAATGCCATGACTGGTTGACGAATCTTTTAAGGAGATTATTTGAACTGACGCAAATGATGAATCCCCTACCGAGGGTCCGGTCTTATGCTGTCATTCCGTTTGCGGTTGCGCATTTGTGTTGCCGTTTATGGGCCTCATAAGGATGGCATCTGGAAGGCGGGAGGATGCAGGATCGTAGCGCGTCACAAGTCCAAGCCCCCCATTGTCAACTGAAAAATACTGTTTCGTCAGCAACAACCCACATGGGTAACTGCATAGTACAATAACGACCCCAGGATTTATCGTTTCTCTCGTTCCTATCGCACGCGCCAGCCTGCAGGCAAGCATCCTCGCCGCCAACTTCCGGTCGCAGACGGACCAGGAGACCTGAAACACCATCCCCACCCCAATGTGCAGTTTAAGCCGACTAGGTACGGTACAAGCAAGGACGGGCGGCAACAGAATGGTGAAACACCACCCCATTAACAGCGAGCTGCTAGTATGGAATGTCGGAGCGCGCTGCTATTTGGCGCCTTCAACGTTCTACGGAAACACAGGCATCGCCATTGTGACATGCCTTGCAGTGCACTAAATTTTTATGTACGACCCAGCCCTCGCGCTGCGCCAACCGAAAGTTGCTATTTGTCCAAAACTGTTTTTCGTCGAATCATCCCGCGGTCTCGTGTGCCGGCCAGGCTGCGCGCCCGGTACAGGTGCCTCGGAACATAACGACACGACTACCTGATTTCAGCCTGCAGCACATGGCCACCAGCGTACACACATATCCAACAAACAAATGCCTAAACTAAGCACACTGTGCATGCAGAGCAAAACCCCACGCCATGAGGAAAAAACAGGACGACAGGCCACAACCAGGACATAGCTTGGACAGGAAAATGGATGCGCCTTCGCTAGCCAATCAAGAACGGCCGCGAACCAGTATGGCAGCTCCGAACGTCAAAACAAGCAACAACGCAGTAGTTGGAAACAGTAGTCGGAAACCGACGTAGCGAGACAGCACCGGCAACAACAGCACGGCTTTCGCTAGACGCAGCTGCAGCCGGATGACTTTCGTAGCCCAGCTCTCCTTACCGCATTCCGTGGGGCCTGCTATTACCTTTTACATCGAAACGGGCCCCGCCACCAATCGATTTGAGCCCTGCCCAGGTCCCGACGGCTACCCAAATATTTTGCAAGCAGGGCCCCTATACCTCCGGTTGGGTTCAACAAAGCTTCATTCCATTCGTCAGCGTCGCCCACTACCGCTACCGCCAGCGCGTCGCTTGCTGCTACCGGCGTATCCCTTCTTGGATGGCGCGCTGTTCCCCTTGAGCAGCTCGTTTGTGCCTCGCTCTAACAAGGCCTGAAGCCGCTTCTGGGTCTCCTGTGCGCCGCTCACAGCATGCCACTGCACGCCGCTTAGTCGCCGCAGGCAGTCCATGCGCGCGCTGTCGTCGGGAAGGCGGCCTAGACATTCAAACACTTTATCATCCACTCCCGACAGGTCCAGCTTGCCAAAGCTCTTCAGGTACTTGTACATGCGGTCCTTGAACTCGGTTGACAATGGCCGCAATGCGGCACCGCCGTTGTCGGTCCCGCCCGCCTCAGGCACGGTCTCTCCTGCTGCTCCATCACCACCGCTGCCGTTAGCTGGTGCTTGGCTGGGGCTGCGCGAGCGCTTGGTACCGCGCCGGTCGGCCGGGCTGCGGCTCCTACTCTTGCTGCGGCTCTTACTCTTGCTGCGGCTCCGGCCACGAGAGCGGGCTGACACGATTTTGTCATTGCGTCGCCCCCGGCTGCGAGAACGGGATTTGCTGCGGCTCGAACGCGAGCGACTGCGGCTCCTGCTCTGCGCCTTGCCTCGTCCTTTGGCCGGACTTCGCGTCTTGCTGCGGCTTCTGCGCCCGACCGCTCCCCGACGGCTGCGACTAGGGCTCCTGCTCTTACTGCGACTACGACCCCGGGACCCAGCAGCTGTGGAGGTGCCTGTACGTTGCTTACTGCGTCCGTCTCGGTCTCTATCGCGGTCCCTATCACGCAGACGCGAAGTCGTGGTCGCCAGGCGACTGGGCTCTGGCGGAGCAGGATAGCGCGTGGCCGGCATCCCAAGCGCGGTACCGCCAGGGATGGGCGGCGGCGGCGGCGGCAGCACACGACTACCGAGAAGGGAAACCGAACCCGGGGCCGCAGCCAAGGGCGGACCGTAACGCGAATCGCGGCGTCCGGGCAGTGCGCCCACACTGCCGACTGCGACGCTGACAGCTGGTGGCATGAGGCCGGGAGGGCCAAGGGGCATCAAGGGCAGGCCGGGACGCATCATGTCGCGGCGTTGCATGTCCCGCTGTACCTGCTCCGCGCAGCGCAGTAGCGTGCCCTTGACGGTGGCGCTTACGTTGAAACGCTCTTTCCAGCGGATGTTTCGCAGGGTGCGAAGAGCGTTCAGCCGTTGCTGCAGCAGGGTGGGACGAGTGGAAGGCGCCAGAAGGATATCAAGGAAATAGGCCAGGGCTACAAGTTTCTGATGCGTGGATGTGTGTCTGAGGATGGCTAACGTAGCTGGATGCCTAGACAGAGCTGGATGTCCACATGGAGCCAAGAAGGCCCAGGCAAGATGTAAGTGAAGGGTAGACATAGGAGGACCAGATCGACGAGGCATGGCAGGAACTTTGGCGAGATCAAGTGCAACCCACAGAGGTGCACCATACACCTTGGACGAACATGCCAAACGCGCTGTGCCATTAATGGTTCCTCCTCGACCCTGTGCCATCAACCCGCAGTGCTAACATGCCAACAGCTGCCGCCTCTTACCTCGCAGTTGGGTAGCATGAGCAGCGGGTCCCACGCATTTGCGTCAATTTGAGAGCAGTCCAAGCCATCTAGCAGAAAACGGAAGGGCAAGGGCAGAAACACTTAGGGGACCTGGAAACACGGAGTAAGGTATCAGGACCTGGCAGCATTCCAGGGGCAAATTCCCTAGAAAATAAACAGATGTCATAAACCAGAAAGTGCAGAACGTTTCATGTGGACGACATGATCACAAATGTTATATCAGAAGCATCGTCATGTCTTCAACAAGCTGTATCGGGAAGTGTCATCCACCCCTCACCGATGTCGTATAAGATGCGGCGTGCATCTTCAACGAACCCCCGCGGCAGCTTCACAATGCAGCCGCGCACGGTAGCGCGCATCACGTCGTCCCATCGCCGCGACTTGAGATCGGGTTCACGAAGAGGAACTCGTGACGGCGCTGTGTCCCGTGGTTCACGATCCCGGTCGCGTCCTTCGCGGTCCTTACTGGCGGCACGCGTTCGATCCCGGTCCCGATCCTTTCGCCGTTCGTCGTCCGCATCCGGTGACTTAGCATGGCTGCCACCGTCACGACCTTCCCGAGGCTCCGTGCTCCAACCCCTGTCCTTGCTGCCACCACCCCGGCCGCGGCCAGCTTCCCGCTCCCGACTGCGGCTCCGACGACGTCTCCCGTCGGGGGACGCCGCACGGCCAGTATTGGCGTCGCCGGACCGCTCCGCACGTTTGGGCGCATGTCCCGCGCCAACAGGACTGGTGCTGCGCGCGCGCTTCACCCGCGCTGCGCGGCCCGACCTGAGAAGAGCTAGGCGCTCCATTTCCACAGCACGTTGCAGACGTGAGTGCAGAACACCCCCGGGGTTATTAGCGGTGCTCCACTCGATCTGAAAGGATGAACCGGGAAGGCGTAAGAAATGCGGTGCGTGCAGCTTGCAGAATTGTTTGCACGAGCTAACCTCGTATGCATGACGCAGCACTGCAATAAGTCACGAGGCACACACAGTGACCGAAAACCTCATCGTTTTTGAGATCCTGACACCGTCCGTGCAAGTCGCAATCGGTAACTTACCGACAGCAATGCTTGTGAGGCCCTCCACCGTGCCTCATCGTCATTGATCGCCAGCAGGGATCGAAGGGCCCACGGCCGCACTGTTGAGAGATCCAGGGCAGCTGCAGGCACAGGATCCCGTGGTTGCAGGAGTCAGTGATCAATTTCTGTCAGCCCAGGTTCAAATTATGCGCAAAAAAAACAGATTACTGCGCCACTTTTGAGCGAAGGCCCCAATTCTGCATGCATGCATCAACAACACAAACCAACACAAGACAGCTACGCGACTCTGAATGTAGAGGCTGGAAAGAGGCAAGTAATCAACTCCCAACCACAGCTTTCCGGACGTAAAATGTGGTCTTACCAACGTACTATGCAACTCATCGCTCAGAGCCCGACCAGAGATCTCACCCAGCTACAACTAATATGTTTGAGCAAAAGTGCCGTGTGATATACTTACACATATCGTTCAGAAGCTTGCGCAATTTCGTGAGCATGTCTTCGCCAACCTGTCCCACCAGTCCTGCCGTCACGTGCGCCACCTGCTCCTCCCGGTTGAGGTCGGGCCCTGGTGCACCCATGTCCTCGTACGCCACCCGCCCGCTCGCGGTTCCAGTCCGACCGCGGCCGCTGTGCCCCTGCTCCTTCTCCTGAGCCTTCTCTCCATCAGCAGCGCCGTGCTCCGCTGTCACCACCTCTCCTGCACCCGTTGGCTGATTACCAGCAGAGCTGTCATTGCCGGTCGCTGGCGCCGCAGCTGCCTCGTCCTGCGTCCTCACATGCTCGTCTAAGTGCTCGTCCATAAGATCTGCCTCCATGAGGTCAAAATCGTACTCGAGCAGCACCTCTTCGTGCTCGTTTTCCGCGTTGTCGAACTCGCCCTCGCCACCCGAGCCTCCGGCGGCACCGCCAGTGCCTGCCATCTGCTCAGCGCGCTTACCGGCCGAACCTGCATCGTCCTCCTCCTCGCTGCTGCTGTAGCCACGTGAGCGTGAACGTGTGGGTTCTGAGTCGGAGCTGCTGTATGTACGGCGAGGGGACGGCGACAGGGGCACCTTCGGTGATTCCGCCAACTGCTGCCCTTCATCATGGCCGCCGCTTTTGCCAGCCTCGGGCACCAAGCCATTTACCAGCTTTAAACCTGTCGGCGAAGGCACCGCAGGCGGTGCCGGCGGGTTCCAAACAATGGGTTCCCGCTTACCCCGGCTGCTGTTTGGTGCGCCAGCTGCAGCCGTCGTACCGTCCATGGGACCTGCTGTCTGGACGCTAGCCGCCTCAGCAGCCAGGGCGCTCGAAGCAGGACCTGTCTGCGCCTCGTCGCCGCCCAAATCACCGGGGACTGGAATGCTTTCCGCTTGACGACCTGCTTGCTGCATTGGATCAGAGCCTTTGGCCTCAATGGCTCCCCCACCGGCACCGTTAACACTAACTGATGGCGCCTGGGCGTCCACCGCATCACCCCGACTGCCGCTGCGGCCACCTATGCTCGATGGAGTCGTGCCGCTGCCGCTATCCCGTCCGCTTGCATGGCTGCCACTGCCACGGGTTACTCCGAGTCCGGCTGCCAATGTAGCCGCAGGCCCCGAAGCCGGCTCCTTCGCGTTCTCTGCAGCCTGCATGTCTTCAGCTCTCGGCCGCTTTGCGTCACGAGATCTGCTGCGACTGCGGCCGCTCGCTTTACCACGCCCGTTGGTGCTCTTGTGATGGCCGACCCCAGAGGGATCCGGGCCGCTGGCATTCCGCTGACTGTTGGATGTACTGCCCTCTTGTTGCTTCGATGAAGCCGCCTCACCACCGCGAGCCTTGTTCTTGCTTTCCTTCTCCCACTCCCTTGCCCGCAGCTTTTCCTTCTCCCGTTCCCAATCCTTTTCCTTCTCCCGCGCACGCTCCTTGTCCTTCTCTGAACGTGCCGAAGAGCCTGCATCCCGCTGCCGGTCCTTGTCCCGGCCCACATTGCTGTCAGCAGCAGGCTTTGATTCCCGATCTCGTGAACGGCTCCGACTGCGCACGGCGGTCTTGCTGTCGCCATGAACGCTGTCAGGACCCCTGTCTCCGCGAGAAGGGCTGCTGGGATGGGCCTCGGCAGCACCACGTCCACCACCTCCCTTGCTGCCTGCCATTGCAACACGTATCAAGAAAGAAAGAGCTTAGCTTCAGTCCAGCAACGGCCAATGGCCGCTACGTTCAGTAAGGCAAACCAAAACGTATACGCGCATGTCATGATGATGCAAGTAGCACATCACACAGGCAGGTTCCCCAAGCACGTTTCAAAAGGAAAACCATCTAAAGAGTTCGTCCCGCTTGTGTTCGTGCTTGCCTGTACACACGGGATGCCATGGCGGCATAGGACAGCACGGACATGGGGATGAACGTTAGAGCAAGAGCCTGACGGCGAGTTACAAACACACCATCATTTGTCAAGTGCTTGCAGCCTGACGTCTGCCTGTATACGATAATCGACAGACGGCGCAATTACAGAAGTGCGGCTGCTGCTTGCTTGCATCTCCGCTGCCGCTGCCGCCGTCCGGCTGCTGCGTTTCGCCAGAGGCTCAAGCGGAGACCAGGAGCAGGAACAGGATGAGCTAGAACAAACGAGGGTGTGGTGTTGGGGACTGTGCGAGGCGGCTCCGGCCGAGACCGCGAAATCGCGTTGACGTCCGCAGCACGCCGTTCGCGCACGGTTCCTGCAGCGGCCTTCCCTGCACTGTCTGTCTCCATAGAGTCCAGCCACTTGCTGCTCTGTCAAGACGCCGTGTCTCATTCCTTTCTCCTGTTCTCCTGACTGCGCAAAGAGAAGTGCTGCAGGCCGCTCGGGTTGGACATGCATGCTTGCCAACATCGAGACGGCCTTCCTGAAGCTGCCAGAGAGTCCGCTCGCAGGAGCTTGTGTTCTCACTTGCGCTTTCTGCGTTAAGGGCTGCTGCTGCTGCACAATGGCTGCTGCCACCGCAGCAGCAGCAGCAACATGACACCTTTCGGTTGCCGAGAATCGCGTGGCTCCCTTCTGATCCCAGATTCGGGTATGCTAGGGAAAAGCGACTGATAAGCTTGCCCCAAATCGCACCAGCGACTGACTTCCTTGCATGCGCGCACACACCGTGGGACGTGGGCGTGGGCACATCCGGTTCACTGCTGTACGTGCCGCAGCAGCCTGAATACCTGTAGCGTGAGACGCGCAATAAGCCCGTGTTTGCAGATGCATCGCGTTTACCCATCGGTTTTGCTGGTAATGTGATGCCCGGTTAGTGCTTAAGTGTCATGCCGAATCAGTGCACATGCATGCCCGCCTGCCGCTGATCGACTCCGCCTTCCACCTGCATACCGGCCGGAGAACGCATTTCACGCAATTGGTGAGCTGACCGCTACTGCGCCTCTGGTGCCACCTCCTTCGTCTGCCAGCGCTCACGTAACGCCCTGCACGCTTGCCGGACCGACCATTATGCGCAGCCGCTCGCCGCAGCCAGCCAAGGGGCCTGCGGCGACGGTGGCTGCGATAACAGTGGATATAGGACCAATATGCCAGGGCGAGGGGCAGAAGCCTAACTCCCTGGTCACGATGGCGCGAGTGCCTCACAGTACAGCAGCAGCGAACAGCATCGCCATTGCACGCCTGTGGCTGTGGGGCGCCCCAACTCGCCCCCCTTGCTTCGCAGCTCCTTGCACGAGCATTTACCTGCTTGAGGCTGGTGGCGCGACCGATCCTTGTTGCGCTCCACGCGGTCCCGATCTGCCCGGTCCTGAGTCCGCTCCGCATCGGAGCGACTACGTTCCCGGTCTCGGTTGCGGTCCCGCTCAGAGCTGCTACCACCGCTCCCGCCTGCACCTGACGGCTTGGACGCTTCAGCTGCTGTTGACTCGCGGAGCCCAACCATTACGTAGGCAGATCGGCCGTTGGCATCGTCCCGGCTAGACGGTATTTGTCCATCGCACGCTGTGGCGGTTGGCTGCCCACGAGAGGTCGCCAGATGGGGCGGCAGCGGAGGTGGCAGTGGAAGCGGTGGCGGTGGAGGCAATGTCGAACCGTCCGCTTCTGGGTTGGAACTACTTTGCTCAGCCTGCAGCATCTGTGGCCCAATCACAGTAACAGCCCTCGTTCCATTGGCAGGCCCTGTCGATGTCGGAAGCGCGGCCGTTACTGCATGCAGCTGTGGCGTCGGGGTATGCAGCTCTTTCTTCGTCTTTTCCAACTCTGTACCTGTATCTGCGCCTTGGCCGCTGGGGGACGGATGCTCTTGCTGCTGTGGCTGGGGTTGCGGATGATATGTTAGCTGCGAATGTGCTTGCGCTTGCTGCTGCAGCTGTGGCAGCACCCCTTGCTGTGGCGGAAGCTGCGACCTCGGTTGCGCCACGGCAACTGAAGGCGTGGCCGCTGAGGGCATTGCCACTGGGGGCGAAGCTCCGGGAGTTGTTGCAGCTGCCGTATCTGGACGTTCCATAGACGATGGGGGGTAATCCGGTACATGCGCACGGTGCCGCTTTCGCGGGTCCCGGGGGAGGTCAGCCTCCGAAAGCACAGCGACTTGCTCAACAGCAAGCCCCTCTCGGCTTGAAAACCCAGATGGCACTGCGATGTCCACCGCCAAGGTGGGGTGAGAGTTGGGCCCCTCCATCTCCTGCTGGTTTGCTCCTGCTAAGTCATTTTGCTCCAGCTTTGATCCCGATGCGTGCGGTGGCTGCCCGACTAACGGACCTGCGAGCAAGTCACCATGGACAAAGGTAGGCACATAGACGAGCACGATGCACATATGGCTTGGCAATAAGAACCATCGGGCTCTAAGCCGTGTGAAAATTATCTAGGCGTACGTGAACGGGAGGCCTCAAGATCCGTCGACAATCGAAGAGGCTAGCCGCACACGGACGCACCGGCCGCGGTCTGAACCTCCTTCGGTTCCAGTATTTCCGGAACAGTCTGCGATGCCTCGGTTGACAGCCGGCCCTTCGTTGTGTCGACTTGGGAATTGGCGCCTTTCCCGCGAGTTTCCTTCCGCGGAGACGCCGCCACCTTATTTGCAGCCCGAGATCGCGCGCCCAACACTTTGGACGACGGCACTGTTTCCTCAGCTAATGCAGCTGAAGGTACAGCGCCAGACGTATCCAGCCGATGAACTGCATCATCGCCAGCCTTGTTTACAGGTGCCTTGTTCATGGCAAATGCCTTAGCTTGGCCGGGCTGAATAGCTGCCTTTGCTTTAGCTCCCTTCGGTGGCGCGGAAGGGACAGCAGCTGGCTTCGCTTCCGCAGCGGGCTCCTGCTGGGACTCCTTGGACTTGCCGCGGGCAGTGGCCTTGCCCTTCGAAGGCGACGCTACTTCGGGAGTTGGTGTTGTCGCTGCAGAAGAGGCCTTTGCCCTTGACCGGGTTGTTCGTGGCACTGGTTCCGGCGGGAGGAAATCCTCCGGCCCAATACTAGGCTGCGTCGACACAGGTCCATTCTCCGGTGCAGCATCTGGGCCATCCTGCAAGCATCAGGTGAAAACCATGGGCAACGCATTGAACTTGGCGGTCTACTCGAGGAACTGGGAAGGACAGGCGCAGCAAGACAGAGCAGCAAGGCTTGCACAAGAGAGCTGTACCCACCTGCTTTTGCTCCTTAAACTTCTTAAGGAAACCCATGTCTATAAGGAGAGCAAAAGCCTGGAAGCCCGAGTAACGATCAAGCCCTGGTCCCGTGACAAGAAGCGCAGAAGATTTTCATTGAGAGTACTTGCTTATCGGCGCTACTTTTGTAGTATACATCCACTGCGGTTCCGCCTGTCTCAACTTTGCGGGCGCGAGCAGAAATGGTGAAGATACTTCCTATTATCGCACCAAGAGACGACAGGTCTCAACGCCAATGTATAGTCGGTTTAAAAACATAAGCTGGACCGTGACACAACGTAAATGACAAGGCAGGTGCTGTACCGAGAAGTGTACGGCGACGTTGCAACTTTCGCAAGACGAGCATAGGCTAGCGTTTGAGCGGCTTCATTGCAAATGTCTATGTTGAGTTGTCCATGTTCTTCCCTGCCTCTTGGGCCCTTTCGAATTTTGTGACGACGGGAACTTGTCCGTGTATGCATACCATTCCCAGGCCATAATTTTGCCCGGTTCCTAAGAAGAACATAAGTGGAGCACAAAAGGCTTCTGGATAAGTACGTTACGGGTTATGGATGATAAGCAGTCCGGGACCACCGGAAGCAGCACTTTTGAACATCTGTAATTTGTTTGCATCTCGTAGGCTGTGTCATTTATTATGGAGTCAGCAGTCGATGAAGTTGGCGGGGGAGGTGGTACCGAGGGCGACTCCTTCGTTGAACTGTTGCTGCAAGAAGTCAGGAGCGACGATCTGAGCTGCCCCTCCGTCCAAATGCTAATCGAAATGGCAAAATCTGGAGACAGCGACACTGTTGCCGACGCGCTCAGCTATTTAGTGGAGGCTGGGGTGCCGGACAAGGCTGCTGCCTGCTTGCGCCGAATCATGGCCCACTCACACAAGGCCGCGCAAGCCGATGCTGTTGCGCAGAAAGACGCAGACGCCAGCACCGGGCCTGCTTGTGCCAACGGCGGCGTCAAACCCGAGCCACTTGACTACGCACTTGCCGGAAGGATACTGAACAGGCGCGTGCACGACGTGGCTCAACGCACCACCTAAGGGCCGCCCTAGCGTGCAGAATTGGAGCTGCATTAGTCATAGGCGGGGTTCCGGGGCGCACGGTCCGCTGTGTGGCAGAAGCCTGCCAGCTCAGGTGTTTGTGAGAGCCTTCCAACGCGCGCCCACATCTCTGGCCTTGCGGGTGCAGGCTGATAGAGCTGGGTAGCATCTCAGAGGGCCAAGATCTGATCAAGTTCATGCTTGTGGCGCGCGACACAGACCGGGGGCGGGGCAAGATGCTGGACTGCTACGGTGCGGAGTGCGCTTACGATCGAACACGCAGCGCAGGGGCGGGGGCGGCCGTACCCTGGGGCCAACCGGATTATTGTTTTACTTGAGCGTCAGCTGTCTAAGTGGTACAGGCTCACTAGGGAATGGGGGTAGGGGCTCTAGGCCTGCAATTGGCGCGTTCCTGCCAAGCGAGCTGCTCCGCATGATGCCGGGCGAGGTGGGAGACCTACGCCTGGGAAACCCTGGCAGCACAGCGAATCAGTGGAACTCATCCTGTATTCGTGTATCATCGCATGCGGATGCTTATGCATGTCATCGCCCGTGCAAGCTGGAAATTTTTTGCTCTGCAAATAATGACTCGCCCCATGCTGACCGAATCCAAAGCACCTATGATGATTATTGGTATTTTTGCTCCGTCATGTCATGTTTACGGGTGGAGCCTCAGACGGCACAGTACACAAGCCTGTCGGGGTGCCTCTGTATGGCGTTTCCCCAACTTCAGCCCGGCGCGGTCCTCGCGTGCCTGTGGTGGAATACCCCAACACGCTTCCTCTCGCCACTCTTCCTCTCGGTGCCTTTTCCCATGGCTTCCTCCGGCGGTCCTGCAGATGTGTCATTCATCCTGGGCTCAATGGTGCCAGAGGGCGCGGCGGAGTCTGCGGGCCGTGTGCTGTTTGCGCTCTACTCGAGCGAGTCGCCCGAGGACAGCGCCGCGTCTCAGACCCTGGTGCCGTTCATCCTGGGCACCCTGGTGGACCATAACCGCTCCGGATGGGCAGTTGAGCTGAGCAAGCAGCTGATGTACACGACACTCGAGGTGGGTAACTGAACTTTATGAATTATTGTCGCTGCATACTTGTTTAACATAGCAGTTTATTTCAACTTGAGTTCCTTTGTATTCCGCTAACTGCATGTGTTCCGGCTTGTCGTGGGGAGGTCCGGCTAGTCATGAGGAAGTCCGGCTAGGCAGGGGGAGTGCGAGGGCAAGAGGCGGCTACATCCTGGTGTGGTATTTCAGGTGCATGGTGCATGGGGCGGATTCGCTGCATCTACCTCTGCATACGATCTGCAAGTAATTCTATATTAACACAGTCTGCTCTACCAACACCGACATCGCCGCCGCAGGAGATCGAGGCTGGATTGGGCGATTACGACTATTCGGTCCTTGGCTGGTGCATGGCCCAGATGGTGCGTCGGGCATACATTATCCTTGACCGGGGGGTCCGTCGCAGCTGGGCTACCACAAGACACTTTGTGTTCTGAAATGTTTTTGTTCTGGCAGCATGCAGCTGTTTAGCAAGCAGCGCACGGGCCCTCGTGCACTCGGGGAAGCCTGTGTGCGTTGGCTTTCTCTCTCAACCAGGATATGCCTTCCTATCTGAGCTGCCATGTGCTCTGCGTCCCTGTCCCGTCTATGTTTTTATTTCCGCTCCGAATTTGAAAACAAGGTGTGGTATGGCCGTGCGGACTGGGCGGCGCGGCTGTGCCTGGAGTTGGAGAGGCAACAGCTCGACTGGTTCAACACCCAAGAGCTGCTTGGGGCTATCGCGGGCTGGGGCGACGTCAATTACTCGATGACGGTCGTGAACTTCATGCAGGATGTTCGGATGAAGGAGTCGCGCCGCACGTGAAGGGAAGGAAGCCTTGGGGGAAGCTGCCGGCGAGGCTGCGCCAGCCATGCTGCTCAGCGCACAGATGGCTGCATTGGAGCTGGCGAGGTTTAGCGTCCAATTTGTTAGCACGGGTGGCTTTGTTTATCGTGGCGGGTTGAAGGAGAAGGCGCGCTGCCTACCGTTACCCAACGCAGGGCAAAACCTGCCGACGGTGTTGGGTGCATGTTTTTTCAATCAGCGAATCCAGTGTGGGACGACATTGGCTTTTGAATGTGAGGATGTTTGTCGCAAGCGTTGCTTCTGATCATGACGCCGGCAATCTGTTCTGAGAAATGACAATGATGCGTATGGACGGCTGTTCGACGGTGACAATTTGTGACTGGTTGATACATGTCATGTCATTTACAATTCTTAGCGCGTAGGCGCAAGCGTTGGTTGTCTGCGTTGTTGTTTGTTTTTTCATCTCGGTGCCGTGCGGCTTCATAGCTATGAACAGAGAAGAAAGGAGAAACGCGGGGTTGGGCTTACAGAGCACAACCCAGGCTTCCACAAGACCATGCATGAGCATCAATCACATGGAAGATATTGCTTCGATATCGTCATCGTCATTGTTGATGCTTTTGCTTTGTACGTTACTATAACCAACTTTCCCCTACTATTAAGGGAGGCCTCTTGAACAACCCGGAGGGCGTCGATTTTCCCATGGATGGTTTTCCGGTGTTATTGATGGTTGCATGCATGACGAGATGTTGGAAGGATCTGGGTTACCAACAATGACTCCTTGCAACCACAGCCCAGGGCGACGGAATTTGAATGATGCCGGTGCACAGCGCGTACACACTTTTTACCGGTGGCATGCTCTTGACTGGTCGCGCAAGAGCAACGCTGTAATGCACCAAGGCATTCCGGACACGGGCGGGTGCATGCTTCGGGAGTGAAATACACCGTGCGGCGTATCCATACACCTTCACATCTTCTCTCCGCATATTCCCCTTTCGCACGACACATTAATACCCATTCCTTAACCACAACCCTTTGCTGGGTCGAGAAGCTGTAGAAGACCCTAACGCACGCAGCAGGGGCACTCCAAAAAAATCAAAACTACCTGTACATGGAAGGCCATCAGCTGGTGCATCAATTAATACCTAGCGTAGAGTTTGCAGGTGTTTGCGTATTGACATCCCTGGCCACAACTACTGCGACTTTCAAGCTACAATCCCGCCACAACATGCAATTAGCGGCAATTTAGTCGATAAACACGTCGAATAATCCTAGTCGGTTCAGAGCTCATCACGCAGCCTCATCATCCTGCTCACTTGTATGTTTACAACACCAGAACAAGATAGACGCGCCTACGGAAATGTTGAACGCCTTTAGTTTATGAATGGCGGCCCTTCAAAGCACCCTGTGCAGCTGCAGCTGCAGCGTCGTCGTCCTCTTCCTCCTCTTCCTCTTCCTCTTCTTCATCTTCCTCCTCCTCTTCTTCATCTTCTTCCTCCTCCTCCTCCTCCTCTTCCGTTTGTCCCTCCACAAGACTGCCGTCTCCTGTGTTCCGCACGCCAACACTGTCTTCTTCCTCCTCCTCCTCCTCTGACTGTTCTCGTGGCTCTACTTTACCACTGCCCTGCTCCTCGTCGTCCTCCTCAGCTGACTCTTCCTCCTCCTCCACCTCTGACTCTTCCTCCATCTCGGACTCCTCCTCTTCCGATGACTCCTCATCCCCGGACTCCTCTTCCTCTTTGGCTCTTGCAGCCGCCTGGGGCTCCACACGTGCGGCCCCTACTGGCGCCACAGGTAAAAGCCCCAACGAAGGCTCTACACCGACCATGCTGTCGGATTTCCGTCCCGTCCGATCCGCCACGGCTCCGGACGTCGTGGCGGTGGCTGAAGCATTGCCACCCGCGGAATTCGAACCTGGCATGGAGGCAGCCGAGATACCGCTCCCTAGACGCGGCGTGGTCACCGCTGTGGTGGGAGCGAAAGCCGGGACGTCGCTGCCAGATATGGACAAGCTGGCGCCAGAGTCGCGCCTACCGGGCTCGGCATCGTCGTTATCAGGGGAAGCATTTGCAGCGGCAGCAGGAGCTGCAGAGCTTGTGCTGAATCCTCGTCGGCTAGGACCGGCTCCGGATGAAACACGCGCAGAGACGACCGCTGGAGGATCCCCCTGTTCGGAATCCGATGCACTGCTAACGGAGGATTCCCGCCGGTTGAGGCCTAGAGCACCGGCTGCAGCCCCGCCGCTGCGTGCGGATTCCTGCCGGCTGGGTGTCGCATCGGTCACCGCTCTGCTCTTTTCCGACTCCATCCGACTCGGGCCAGCGACACTCGCTGCAGACGACTGCCGCCGACTCGAGCTTGCAACGCTCCATGACCCTCGTCGGCTGGCAGAAGCAGCAACAGCAGCAGCAGTAGCAGTAGCAGCGCCGCCGGTACTTGACGCAGATTCCCGCCTGCTTGGCCCCATACCGGCCGCAGCATCACTCAGCTCCGATGCCCGCCGGCTGGTGCTCGCACTCGGCGCATCTGCAACAGCAGCCGGCGTGGAGGTCCTCGATGCCGTCCTCCTGTCCACTTCCGACTCCCGCAAGCTCGCACTCCGGCCTCCTCCGGAAAGGGACGACGCCACGGGCCCCCGCCTTGACGCGGCCCCATGACTAGCGCCTGACTCCGGTCGACTGGGACCAGCATCCGCGGCGACACCGCTCGCAGGCGGCGAAGAACCACGCAAGGACGCGATCTGCCCGCTCGGCCCGTTGTCGGTGGCAACGGCACCTGTCACAACGGAGTCCTGCGTTGCCCGGCTAGCTTTGGAGCTACTACGCCTCTTTTGGCCTGCCGCGGACGCAGGCGCTTGTCTTGAGGATGAGGACGCACGGCTGCTGCTCCTAGACTCGTGGCGACCTAAGGAAGCCGCCGACGGCGCCTGTGCAGTCACCGGCAGCGGGCCCAGACTGCCGCCGCTGGCACTGCGGCTGTAAGCTGCACTGCCCTGCGGAAACTCATCCCCGCTGCCGCCGCCAAAATCTTCGCTGTACGGCGGCTCGACGTCCTCCGGTTGCTGCTGGACGTGCTCTGGCCGGGCGCTGTCAGGCAAGTCGCCACCCGCGGTGGATTCCGCCGGGCTGCTACTGCGCCGGCTGCTGCTTCCGGCACCTCCGCTGCCGCGGACAATTACAACCGGCACCAGCGGCGGCGGCGGAGGCGCCGAACCATCGCCGCTGCTCGTGCAGTAGGCTGCGAAAAACGCCGGTGACACGTGCAGCATGGCGGCCGTGTCGTCCGAATCCGCCGTCTTCTGTCCCGACGCACCCTCCTCCGTCATAGCACTGCTGGGGGGTATCGGCATGTAAGCCGCCTCCACCTTCCGTAGACTGTCCTCCGCCGCCGCCTTGAGCCGCTGCTGGAACTCATCCTGTGCTGCGTCACGCTCCTCCTGCACTATGGCTCCAATCACCTCGCGCGGCGCATAGATGCTGGTGATATTCGGCGGCAGAACGGCCTGCGGCGCGTCCGTATCAATTGACGACCCCTCGTCGCCGAAACCGTCGTCGTCGCCGGCCACGTCGCTGCTGCGCCGCAGCCCGATACCACTGCGCTCCGCGCCAAGTCCACCGCTCTCCGACGCCTTGGACCTGTGCGACGGCGGCGGCAGGTACTGCGCCAACACTGCCGGCGATACCAGGTGCCGGCCAAGCGGTGGCAGCGTGCCGCTGGCGTTGTTCCCTTGGCGCGCAGCAGCCGAGGCAAAACTGGGCTCCAACGAGAGGTTGCTGTTGGTGGCGTAGCCGCCACCGTCGGCAGACGGCATGTCGCCACTCTTCTGACGGGCAACCGCAACCAGGGGATGGGTTCCACCCATCATGGCAATCAGGGCGGCCTCTTCGTCGCCCTCCCGGTCCGCCTCCTCCAGCAACGACCTGCATGGGGGACGATAAGAGGGGGAAGGAGGTGAGGGAAGGAGCCGGGCATAGCCGTAAATCCATGCAACCTTTTGCGCACTGATGGCCGCATGCACGCACGGTAAATGTTTTGTCGGCGGGCACCAGCTCTTCGGCAAAAACCAACCCGCCGGCAGATACGGCCCCAGTAGTACCTGTAGCTGGCTGCCGACTTCTCCTTGCTCAGCCGCGGATGTGCCGCCTTGGTAGCGCGTTCCGCGCGGAAAGCGTCAAATGTGTGCGGGATGTGCGCAACACCCGAACGCACGGCAAAAGCCTCTTCACGCTTCTTGCATTTCGCCTCGTAGGCGCCATTCCTGAGAGGTCGGGAGGTGCATGGACGGGACACGGGATCGCAAGCAGCGGCACGGAGTCACCATGGCTTGTCCAACACCGGCTGACTGCGCATAGGTATATAATGTTAAACATCGTCGTGGCAGTGGCCTGGCAACTTGGCAGGTATGTGAAATGGTTGAGAACCCGGGCGGGCCGACCAACTACGCACGTGACGGATGTCCAAACACCGAACCCCAGAGCGTGCCCTAGCCGGCCATCATCCCAAAGACGGCACCAATCTTAAGACAGCAACGCAGCTAGGCGCCCTTACAGCCTCATGCTGCCACCCGAGAAGCACTCCTCCAAGCCTCAGTTCCCATTCTTACAAGCGCTGGTGGTAGGCCTCGAGCGCCCGGAGCTTGATTTGCTTTAGGTAACTGTCCTCCGCCTCCGCCTTTTGCTGCTTCACCTTCCGCTGCGTCCACTGCTTCACAGCGGTTTGGTTCTGCTCCTGAATCTGATTTTCACGAGCCTCAAAGCGAGCCTGTGAATCGGCCTTCATCCTGAAGGTTGACCAGCACGTGCGCCAGGTTCCCAGGTAGGCGTGGGAGGCGAGATGGGGAAATGGGTCGGGGTTACTCGCCGGGAGAACAGCGGCATAGCAGTAGTACAGGGCATGTCACCCGCCGGCGTGTGAGTGCGAGCCTAAGGATGAAGCAGAGGAGGTGCATGCAATTGACGTGGGATGCTTTGGGCGGGCTTGTCCGCAGGGACAACCCTTGCAAGAGCAAAGAGGGGCCGCGCTTGCTTACCGCTCTTGCTCCTCTCGCTCCAATTGCAGCTCCAAGTGCTTGCGCTGGCTCCACACGTCGAAAACCTGTTGGTTGTCTGCATCGCGGTCTCGTAAGAACTTCAAGTCCTTCTCCGTGAGGAGAGACGTGCCATGACGCATCATCCGAAGGCCCGAAACCGTGGGGCCATGTGGCTTTGTGGAGGCTCGGGCAACGGGCGCGGCCGGCCTCAGTTCCGAGTAGCTGGAACTTATATATCCATGTGACCCAACAGATCGTGGTTGGTCAGGCGACGAGAAAAAGCCTAGTCGACTGTTAATTTGGCTTGTCGTTTTACGCACACCCGTTGGACGTGGATCTTCAACTGGAGACAATGCATTAGGACCTGATACAAGGTTGTTGCTAGCTGCAGGTGGAACATAATAGTGGTGGGCCTCTAGGATGGGCGGCAATAATGGAGTTGTCGCATTCGTGTTTGGACGACTAGTGCTTGAACTTGTCGTTGATGTACCAGTCTGGAGCCGGCTTGGGGTTGGAGACCCTTTGGCCTGCGACATTTTGTTATCGGTGCCTTCGAAGCGTCGGTATGTGCGACCGCGCTGGCCCAAGCCACACAAGGCAGTGACTCTACACCTATACTTTGCATAAGATTTGCCTGGAATCAGTTGCTGAATGTCGCGTGTGGGGCCATTGCCACCATAAGGGAGGAGACTTACATGTTCGTGCATGCATACGGCTTTTACGGGGAAACACACGTAAAGCATCTTGCCCTGTGCAAGACATGCCCATTTTTTGGGTAAACCTATTCTGCATGGTATTTAAAAATTTTAGCAGCTGCTTTTTTGGTATGTGGTAGGAGAGGTGCAAGGTCTGTTCAGCCGTGCAAGGAGCGGTGCAAGTGGTTCAATCCATAACATATTATCCCCACAAATTCTCTGTTCTACTGCTCGATTGAAGTCAAAAGGCACCGACACAGCTTGATGCAGAGTATTCACGCCCGCTCGCGGTGAGTCGGCTGGATAGATCTGGACCATTTGATGTAGCCTTTTGCTTCACCATTGGATGTCAAGAGAGTTATTATTGGCATGGAGTGCAGGGCGGCGTCCCAGCCCGTCATGAACAGCACGACAGGCTATATAGGCGTCAAGCCGGCTGGTACGCCTTTCCCCCCGGCCTTGTCACATAGATGCATGGACTGTTAAAATATCTCATCCGGATGGCAGGCAAGGTCGCTGGCCTCGGCCGGAGCAAGCCACAGGGCTTCTGGCAAGTGACGCATCAACAGATAAGCTCCGCAAAGTGGGTGCCTTAAATCCAAAAAAATATTGCTAGCGACGTCGCCACAGCCAGTGTTGTCTCACCTTTCGCCTTGCTTCTCGCATAGGCGCTCGGGCGCACCCAAGCGTAAGGTCACCACGATGATGCCGGTGTCGGTACCGAAAGTGCTGGTGCGACCACCTGGCCAGAAGCAGATGGAGTGGGTGGATCTATGGGAGGCCTACGTGAGTCTGTGACAATGCCGCGTTTTGTGGGGGGAAAGAGGGAAAGGAAGGGCTTGCGCCTCGTGGCGGGTGTGCTGTGCTTTCCTTGCAGCCCATGAGACCTTCCGGCGCAGGGGTCATGGCCTCCAGGCCCAAGGCCTAAGCCGGCCGTTTCCATATGAACGCCGCTGCGTCTGCAACCCGACACCACGGACATGGACCTCTCACGAGCCCTTCACTGATACACTATCTGGCTCTGCACGCGCTCGGAATCTCCGTACAGACGTACCAGAAGGTGGTCTTCATCAAAGAAGCCATCACGGAGGAGGTGGCGAACAACATGATTGCCCTGACTCTGTATCTGGATTCCTTAGATAACAAGCGCATCTACTACTGGCTCAATTGCCCGGGAGGCGAGGTGGGCCCTCTTGCTGTACTTTTCCCGCACCTGGCGGATAGCGTTCAGGGTACTTGATGCGTGTGCAGGCGAAACCCTAGGAAGGGCGAAACCTTGGGAGTCCTGGAGGCTCCCGACATACTGGTTGAAGTTGCTTGTGATGTGTCCAGTGGTATGGCTGCTGAATTGTGACTGCCGACTGCCAAGTAAAATGTATGCACCCCCTCACCATTTGGCTTCATCCCGCCCATCCCCACTTCGCTCTGACGGGGACCTATGCCAGGTTGTTCCAACCCTCGCGCTGTACGACACGATGCAATACGTGCGCAGCAAGACGGCCACCGTATGTTACGGGCTGTGCCTGGGTATGGGGGGCTTTCTGCTGACCACGGGTGGCGAGAAGGTGCGTGAAGGTCACGGGTCAAGGGAGGGACGGGGGGATGGCGGACGGGTTTGAGAGCTTTCGTAGCGCATCGGTACGGGTTGGTGCGTCATGAGGGTGGGGGAATCCGCCTTTGCCAGCCGCAAAGCCATTGCAGGCACGTCGCCTGGCAGCAACCTCATGGTCACGAGGTAAAGGTCTTAGGAGATCTGGAGCGGTCCAGGCTCTGGCCAGCGGGCTGCAGGGGGCATCAAAAAGTGCACGAGGGGTGGAACCGCCGCTTTTGCGAAAGGCTATCTCGAAAGCAGGAAAGCTAAATGCCACAGCATCGCGACGGTGCATGATTTTGTTGACTCAGCGAAGTTGGGGCTGCATTGAGCCCTGGTTCCGGAGTCCCCAACCCCGCCGTCGTGCCTGCCGTCGTGCCCCGCCCCGCAGGGCTACCGGTTTGCCATGCCGCACAGCATACTCATGATGCACCACCCGTCAGGCGCCTCGCGAGGTCAAGCCTCGGAAATGCATATCGAGTCTCGGGAGCTGGTCCGCATGCGCGACTACCTGTCCTTGCTTGTATCGAACTCCACGGGGCAACCCTACGACCGGGTGCGTGGTGGTGTGCGGTATGCGGGATAGTAGGGGGAGTAGGGAGTAGAAGCAGCACGGGCGACGGTGGAGGGGTAAGGCTGGGGCCCGGAGGGGGCTAGGCTAGGGGAGATTTCGGGCTTGAGAAGCTGGCATGCAGGAGATGCGATGCTGGAGACTGGATGTGGGTTTTTGCGTGGCCATGCTGCTGATTTGGGTGACGTTATAGTTACAAGTTCCGCACAAGCACTTGTGTGGGGGGATGTCCGTAAAAGCCGGGGGGGGGCCATGGGAGCTGAGCGATACGTAAAAGATATGGCGGTTTTTAGCAATGCAGTGACCCATCTGGCTTTGCAAATCTCTGTGTTGTTTATGTATACTGTAGTCTGTAGTCTGTAGTTTACTAGACCCTTTATACAATAAGGAGGAACAGTATACATAAACAATACTGTATTGTCTCTATATTGTTTATGTGTAATTTTAGTAAACTAAAATTACACATAAACAATACTGGAGCAGGTTGTCTGAGCATAATAAGTAAAAGAGTTTGACATGGGCATTGTCGCCGGTACATGGCGCAGGTTATTCGAGAGCTGTCTCGCAACAAGTGGATGGACCCGAAGCAGGCGATCGAGTACGGCATGATCGACAAGGTCCTCACGACGCCCATGCCGAAGCTGCCGTCGGGGCCATCCTTTAAGTTTGAGCGGAAAAATGATGAGCTAATTGGCTTGTAACCGACAGGATGGGGAGCAGGGACATTCCGTTTAAGTGCGCCTAGGGAGTGAGCGTGGCAGAGTAGCGGAGTGGCACACTGTAGACGTGTGTAAATCGGCCAGGAGCGTGCCGGGATTCCAAGGCCAGGGTTCATGCAGGGTGACGGTGTTTATGTATTAAGCCTCCTGGCTGATTACTGAACCGAATGGTGGCATAGCACTTTCTGCGCCGGAATGGCCGCATGTACGGCAAGGCGGAAGTGCGGCAGACGGCCGTTTTGTTTGTGTTGCAATTGTACATGTCCACGGCGGATGATCTTCACCAGAGTCTAAGATGAGCTTTCGCTTTTGCCTGGGCCGCGCCCAGGTGAAGCATTTTAAGACCGCGCTTCAGACTCTGAACAGAATCGGTGGAGAGCTTTTAGTCGAAGCCGTACCTGAACAGGTGTGGTGAAAGCCAGGAAGTATAACAAACCAAAGAGTACTAAACTCAGCATCATTTTCGTGCAGCTCGTGCTGAGGAGTATCAACACAGCCAAGTCGGCCTTTCTTTCGGTCACATATTTTAGCCGTTTTTTCGACAGCTATGAGATTTACGACACAACTGTAGTCCAGACGATAGTTCTCAGCAAGGTATGCCGCCTTCTGCGTGGGAGCACTTACCTGGCCCGCGGTTCAGAGCCGGAAACCTCCCTTCTCGCAGAATGCACTTGCAATATTCCGATCTCAAAAGATCAATCAAATTGAATTTACTCTTGATAACGCTGCGGCAAAGCTCCAGGCTACTGTCCATACCGATGAAGGTAAGGGATACGGTCCATACAAGCTGGCCTGTTCCGAGGCTTACACTGTGCACGCGTGAACTTGCAGGACTCATCAAACGTTATGCGTTCAACTGCTTGGATGGGGAGGTACTGCAAGCGACCGTGGACCATGCCGCGTATCCCACCATGGTCATCGCAGAGGCATCCGAGCTCGAAAAGTGCGTGGAAATGAGTGTTATCAGCGGATAACATTCCACCGATATTTTAAGCAATTGATACACAGCGCCGAACGCACGGTCCCTGGGCGACTTGACACGTCGGGACCAAGCCTGTCTGCCGAGACCGGTCAACCCACATTTGACATCTCAAACGTGCACATTAAGCCACGGCCCATAGCACGCCCCACCACACACAACACAAACAGGTGGAACCCAGCACAGCATGCCCACCCATACGCTACCAAATGGACAGTACGATCTGCCCAAGATTCCCTGACAGCGCCAGGCCTTCCTTTAGTCAGTCCCGCGCGCCACCTGTGCCTCTCTATATTAATCCGCCACACCGCGGGCCTCCCCATCCATGGCCTGATCCTCCCCCGGCGCACAGACTGCTATCCTCCTTCCAGCACACCCTGGACGAAATCACCCTCATCGCCAACCCGCTTGGCGCGGCCGCACTCGCCAACGGCCACAAGGCCTGTGAGATACGCAGCTTCGTGGACCCGCTCAAGGGTGGGTACCTGCGTGGGTGGTGGGTGGGCGGGTGGATTCGTACATGGTTGGCGGCGCAGGGCAACATGTCGCAATTGAGGGGCTGTCAGGGAGCAGAGGTAACAAGATGCCCATATGTATTTAGTGGTGTGCCAGGTTTGCCGGGCAAGTATTGTATGCCTAGTACCCGGCTGCAAAAGCGCTCCTCCCACCAGGCCAGGGCCACCCTAGTCCTTCCTTTTCTGCCAGCCCAGAGTCCTGGTCCTGCCCCCAGCTCCGTCGTCGCCCCTGGCTGATCTGCAAATCTCTTGCCAAATATCTTGGTGTCTTGTTAAAACTGCTTGAAACACTCGGTAATGCTTGTTCCTTCCCATTCCTCCGCCTCCTGGTTAGAAAGGAACCAGCGGTTGGGTTTTGCTTTTTACACCTTCCCCGCCCTCTCCAACCCCTCTTGGTCCGCGTACGTCCCCCCTAGGTGGCCAAGAGTCCGCCCTCATGACCAGCCTGACGTTGGACACCCGATCCGTGTTCACCTCCTACTCGCATAGCTCCCCGCTGGCTGCGGACGTCACCTTCAACGTCAAGGACTTCCGTGCCATGACGGCGCTGTGTACGGCACTGGGCGCTGACGTGGCGCTGTGGCTGCAGATGGCGGGCGCACCGCTGGTGGTGGAGCCCCACTTCCGGGGCCTGCGGGTGGGTGTGTACGGCAGATTGGCCAAGTGACTCCTTGGGGCTGTTGGAGTGGCCGAGTGGCGCGCCAGGCGCAGCGCGTGATGCGTGCCAGGCGGCGAAACGGTCAGATGGCAGGTCTTTGTGGCAGGAGAGAGGCACGACACCACGATAGATAGCATTGATTACACGGCTTACCAGGAGTACTACTGATGTGACGGATTCGACGGGTCCTACCAAGGATTCGTAAACATATGGTGGTTGGTGTAGGCGGCGTGTTGTCTATTGATGAGCGTGTCGTGGTCATAAGAAGCAAGGGGTAAAATAATATTCGTTCATGTTCTCTATGTCCGATGTGAGTGGCCTTTGAGCTCCACACAAGTTGTTACTTTCCCACCACAGGAGGGCGCTGAGACGGACTTCCAGGCCATGCTGGTGCTCTCCACCCTCACAGACTCGCAGCTGGGACCTGAACATCACGCACTGCAGCAGCAGCAGCAGCAGCAGCAAGATGCGCAGGAGGAGGAGGAGCAACAGCAATTACAGCCACAGCCACAGCCACAGCAGCAGCACCACACGGAGGATCCGCAACGGCAGCCCTGGATCACGGCCGACGCGGAGGCAGAGGCGGAGCCGCCGAGTCCGTACGACGGTACGGGTCGTGGCGGCACGAGAGCGACAAGCAGCGGCCGTGGCCGCGGTGCGGCGGCACCGGCACCGCCGTCTACTGGCCGCGGCCGGCGGCGG